GGTGAATCGATTAGTTTTTATAAACTTGTTTTTCTTTTAAATCTTAGAATAAAGGAATGAAATTAAAGTATTAAAATTGTTTATAATTGTATTGGCCTAGGCTGGCAAAAGCAAAGTTTAAAAAAAAAATAATAACAAATAGGTATATATGTTTATAGTAATTGTTATTGTCGTGATGGAATAGAAAATAACTGGATAGACCTATTTGGAAATAGGTCTATATGCTCATCAAGATTTTTTTTTTGTGCACTAAATTTATCTTGATTCGAGGATATTGCTAAAGTAAAACTGAGGCCAGGAATCACCAAATGAATAACTTTACTATGTTATTGGCCAAACAAAAATATGATATTGTGTGAATCTTTTGAGATTTCCATTGGCAAGCAAATGTCATTTAGCACTCTCAGTGCAATAATGTCGTCAAGAAGTGTCCCACGGGACGTGAGCTGACGCTGTCACAATATATATTAATGGGTTGTTTACAAGCCTTATAAGTTACACACTCATAAATCACCAGTCATCATTACTTTCGACGTACTTGTTACCAGGTCAGCATATAAACAACACCTATAGGCAATATTTCCGTGGCATAAATAAATCCGCATATCTTCGTACTCTACTGTAGTCCCCCAAAATGCGCTTGGATTGTGATTACGCATTGAGTCAGTATTTAACCTATTTTCCCCTAAGGGTAGGTTGAACTTTCACTATAGGCCTATAATAAAATTAGTTCCACTTCACAAGTTTAAAATTTAAACAATTTAACCAAGGTATCTGACATGATAAATCTTATTACAGTAGAATCCATCCTATCCTTTAGGACATCCATGTTAAGGGGACATCCCTACGAAGGGACACTCTTTCGGCCACGAAATGAGGGAAAGTAAAATGTCTTAACACTACGACCAACCCCTATTCAGGGGACACCCTTTAAAGGAATAATTATTTGGTTCCGAAGGGGTCTACTGTAGTTACATGTTCATAATTAATGCGACCCTTCTTGAGGAAATTGGGTGACGTAAAACTCACAAATGAAATGACAATTCGCATTTGGGGGCAACACCATAAAAGCATAGGCAATTACAGTAACTGAATAGGTCCTGGCAGCTTCTTCTTAATTTATATTGTGCCTTTCTTCTTAATTCGATTAAAGGTCCCCAATCCTGATTATCGCAAGTCTTCCGAAAATAAACACAGTTTCTCCGGCTCCCGTAAGCAGCAAAAATATCCTGGAAAATAAACCAATTTTGTTCGGTTCTTAAGGTGGTCGATAGAATTGAATTTCGGAATTTTCTTGTTCACATCATCATATTCATCATCATCACACACACTTATAGACCTACATTCTCTCTCACTTCCATCCGTTTTCCATACTGTAACCATAGAGCAAACATTTAGGTAGCTCATTCGATCTGACTATCAATAACCAACTTTTTTTCGGACAATCCACAGAAGAGTGAATTCTTCGTAGTCTACGCTTTACTGACTTGACACTCTCTTGTACTTGTGTTTGAGAACTCTCAGAAAAAACTGTCTGCCCATCTCGGAAGATCCACCTTCAGAAAGTTAGAAAAGCAGTACCAATTACTGAGGGACAATGACTTCGTGATCTACGCCTATTATTGACTTGGCACTCTCTTGTATGCCTTGTTTAAGAACTCTCAAAAAATAGTCTGCCCATCTCGGAAGATCTTAGCCGGTCGGCCACCTTCAAAAAGTTAGAAAAGCAGAACCAAGTAGGCCTACTGATGGACACTGACTTTGTGAACTACACCTATACTGACTTGGCACTCTCTTATAATGCCCTTCAAGAACTCTCAGACAACATTGTCTGCCCATCTCGGAGGATCTTAGCCGGTCGTCCACCTTCATAAACTTAGAAAGGCAGAACCAATTACTGAGTGGCAGTGACTTTGTGATTTACGCCTATACTGACTTGGCACTCTCTTATATGTCCTGTTCAAAGTACTCTGACAACATTGGCTGCCCATCTAGGATCTTAGCAGAGACAAAGTATATAGCCCTCTGTGCCAACTTTGTCGGCTTTTCCTGTGGGACTTAGAGAATCAGGAGCCAAAGTACGGCAATTTGCTCTCAACCCATATTTCGTAATGTAAACTTGGCACCTCCCTGGTCGTTCATGTAGGTACTTCCAGGCAACTATGGTGGCCTAGCTCGAGATATCGGAGCCAAATCATTGCTTTCAACAATTTTAAGCATCATGGATTTGATTGGTATCCGTGACAGTATTTCACTTTTAAAGAGTCAACAACCCTGTCCAAACAGGAAACAGTTTCCTTGTACGGTTTGTGCCGACTTGGAACTTGTATAATTGCTCGTTATTATATTTTGATAGAGTCTGTCTTCGTTCGACAAATTCAATGCGATAAGGGACAGTGCTTTTGGTTTACTGACAATTGATTTCTAAATTTGGCAATACGCCAATTTGGCGTGAAAATGAAAAAAATGTAGGAAATGCGTAAACAACTTGGAAAATATTAATAAATGGGAATGCATTGATTTGAGACAACGTTGGCGAACAAAAGCAGACATGTTATTAAACTACGGTTTCTGTAAAATATTACAGTAAATTAAAACTAATGAATCAAATGATTACGTATCAGAAAGCAATTCACATCGTGTCTTAAATTAAAGAAAAGATTCTATCCATCATAATTGAATGAGTGTTGTACTGCTTATCTTATGTAATACTTTCTAGTAACTTTATTAGATAAAAATTTCATAATTGTCTTGTAGTATATACAAGATATACGAAAATCTCCGAAGTGTAAGTTTACCTTAATACAATAGTGACTGTTGCTTTAAAATCGTATCCTCGACACGATAATAATTTGATAAAGTGTTAGACATCAACATAAATACTAAATCATATTATTAGTCATGTGATTGTTTCAGGACACCTTTCAGCGACGAGTAGGCCTATACAGTTTAATTCTCCCATGATTTGCGCTAACAATAACACCATTCACCATTACCGAATACTTTTTAAAATGCTTAAATTGTCAGCTTTAGCTCCTGATTCCACGCTGAGATCGTTTGCAATACTAGAAGCCATGCAGTATGTTTTCATAAAAATCTCTCTTCAAGTTACAAAGTTTAAACTACTGAATTATAAATAATACGTCCCGAGTTGTTGGGTTTGTTGGATGTTTTAGCACCTGCTGTTTCAACAACCCCTGTTTAAACTACTGTACTGAGTTACACGTCCTGTGTTGTTTCGTTTGTTGGATTTTTTAGCATCTGTTGCTTCAACATATGCAAATGTTCATTCTTTTATTTCATTTGATTACTATAGGCCTAAGTATCAAGCGTAAAGTGAATTTCCGAGTAGGCCTACGAAAATATGATAATAGCGATTGTATTACATATCATACATCGATGCAAGGACGCCTGTGGTCATACAGTCCTAAAATATGGCATAAATGACATTCTATAGACTTTCATTAGTAAAATACAGTACACTACCTTAATGTTCAAAATGTGAATAATCTCCCCAAAAATATATTAATTAGGTTTGATTTTTTTCTTAGTTATAGATTAGCTATAGATGAATTGATTTCATCTTTTTTTTAAATTTGTATTACCGTATTTGATTTTTACAACTTGATCCATTTTTCTTTGATGAATTTTTCCATGTTCCTTTGTTAGATTTGATTTGTTTGTTATATTTGTTCATTTGGCTCTATTTTGCATGCACTCCTCAGAGACGACATGCTACTGTTTTGGGACTGATATCAAATAGTTGTATCCTACTGTACCGTATCAAACTGTAAACTATACCTAACATCATAACGTCAGGCATTTATACTGTAGTTTTTTGTAGGCCTATATAAAACCTTTACTGGTAATCTGATCGATGATTGCTGAATTGCGAAACTCTGCGAGAGCGAGTTTATCATGTTGATCCATTAAATGAGTAGAACAATTGGCTTCATTTATTTTTGCTGCATCAGTTTAATTATGCGGAAAGGTCGCATTATTTTTGGATGCCATAACGTGAATTGCTTCCCCGAAACAGAAGTAGAAAAAAATGCATTTCACCAGAGCATATATGTGTCAAGGTGATTATTAACAGGACAATGGCTCAGTACCGAATGAATCATAAAATAAACATTGTATATACTATTCATGTAAATTGTTTAAAACATTTATTTTTTACAATATACCGGTAGGTTTCTGTGTCATCCTGTATCTAAATTTTATAGTTCCACGCGAATGATTTCCACAGTTCAATAGAGATAATGGGTCAAATTTTGATAATACATGTATTATTTGTTTAAACCGCAACAGAAACCAAAATAATATGTGAAATATTTACATGAAGGTTATACTTAACAAACCTAAACCGTAAAAATGAAGTGTACGCCAATGGATAGTAAAAGTAGCTAAAGAAATAAAAACTACTGTACACTTTTTGGGTCACGTTTGTAGCCTATTATATTTTTCTTAACTATAAGCATGGTATTAGTAGTAGTAGTATTAATCTTTGAATGTATCGACAAACATAACGAATTTCCTTGAACGTAAAGTTATGACCACTGCAGACGATCAATAATACCAACAACAGCATGGGTCGATCAATATCTTTTTGTTAAAATAACATAAGTTTCATATTCGATCCAAGTTGCTTTGATTTGCTGTCTTAAATTCCACTACATTACTTTAGTTTTTGTTAACAAACGTAATTACGAAGTTCCTTTTCAATATAGTTTTGGGTTTTTTTCCCCATCTGTTTTGCCAGGAGACAAATATGCCATAGGCCTATAGCCATCCCATAGACTTTATCTGAAGTTGTCGAACAGTTTCGGGAGAGGGGCGAAGGAGGGTGAAACGGGACATAATTATTGTCTGTCAGTGGTCAAGACATTGAGCATAAAATTCCAAATGTTCGGCAAAATATTTGGCCATCTATAGGCCTAATATCTTTTTTGACAACTCTATAGGACCGACACAGTAGTCAGTGACCTGTACGTACTTACCCAGAAGAACTGTAACGATCAGAAATGGATATATCCGTTGGTAAGACGAATTCATGTTTGTTTTTTCCTGAAAGTCGGTGGCTATAGAAGTAAGCCTAATAATATCACTTCAAGTGCATTAGTGTACGTCCGTTTTTATATTACCACATCACTCAAACAATCCAACATGTTATTAATATTATTAGTAGTATTCCTCCTAGCGAGACTAACCCGTCCTGCTCAGCTGAGTGATGTTAACTCGTTGTTTATTATTCCTGTGAATTAGATGATATCACCACGTCACGGCTTCAAGTCCTCTATAAAAACGAAGATACTCCCAGTTGTTATACTAGTATCGTTCTTCGAAACGACGATATATATAAAAAAGACATGAAATAAAAACAAAATCGCAGTATCTTTCCCGCTGAAACCGACAATATTCGACTTGTTTTCGTTACGGATTTAAACAGACTGAGAATTTTCAACTCAGTAGGGTATTTACCAACCTGCGAACTTCAGAATGAAGCGGTGACTAACAATTCATGGCTGGGTGATTTGAGGTTCAACGGTCTCTGACAGATCCTTGGAAATTGACTGAAGGCGCAGCAGCGACAACCGCCCAATAACATGGGGTTTCCTATAAACTTTCTGGAATATTCCATTTTACAAATAGGTAAAATTACCAATTGTGAAATACAATAATTAATAGATTAAACATATCTTCTTTTTTTTTTAATTTATCAAGCATTAGGGGTTTGTTATATTTCTCAATAACGTTACATATTACAACAATAAGCTATTTTTTTAAAATGTTATGCTAATTTAATATTCCAACATCTCGTCCATGATGGATTGATCTATACTGGCAGGACAAGGGTGACTTCCCGGATAAGAGAGAACGAGAACGAGTTAAAGTACAGTATTTACGTTTTTGATCCAAAAAGTTGGCGTTTAAAATTATGACATCACATCCTGTTTATTAATTCTCAACAAAAATATTTTTATTCTATAACTTGGAATAGTGACAAAGTTTCTGTAATTTTGTGAAAGTAATGTGCTACTACTCATTTGCAATATTAAATATTTCAAATGAATAGTAGCACATTACTTTCAAAACATTACAACAACAATTTTTTTTTTAATCGTCATCGTTTCGTCGTTAACAAAATAAACATCCTGGCTTTCTTTTATGTCAAACACACAAGGATCCAGAAAAAGATTTATATACATTTTCGCCCTTCATAGGATCGACTTTCCTGAAAGACTGTACGCTATAGCGTAAGCCTACTTTGGCTAAAACACCATTAGGCTGAGCTATCTTAATTGGTATCGTCACATCATTACCGAATAGGCCTAATTATCATCATCATCATCATCATCACCATCATTGTCATCATCATCTTCATCAATTTTCAGCAGCATCATCGTACGTCATCATCATCACCATCATTATAATTATTATTACTATTATCATCTTCATTATTATTTTATTATTATTTTTATTATTGTATTATTATTTTTATTATTATAGTTTTTGGCCTATTATATTATTATTATTTGGCTACGACAGTTTAATAATTTGTCATTATCAATACTAATTATCATTAATGAAATAATATTCAGTCAGAGGGCTTATTTATGGTCTGTCTCTTATACACATCTAGATGTGTATAAGAGACAGATTATATTATTATTATATAATAATTAGTATTATTACAATTATTATTATTATTCACTAACATTATCATAATATTATCATTATCATAATCATCATCTCCACCATCACCACAACAACATATAATCACCATCATCATTATCATCATCATCATTTATCATCACCATCATCATTATAAACATCATCTTCATTTTCATCATCAGCATCAACTTTATCATCATGGCATTATCGTCAACTTCATCATGGCCATCATCATCAATCATCATCATCATCATCATCATCATCATCATCATCATCATCATCATCATCATCATCATCATCACCATCATCATTATCATCATCATCATCATCATCATTATCATCATCATTATCATTATCATTATCACATTATCATCACCGTCTCAGGTAATAACATCCACTATTGCTGCACATCGATATCCTTATTGATTGTGCAAGGCGTAATTTTTTTATACAAGCTAGCTCGGTGGTCTTGGTTATGACAGGCTAGTTATCTGGAGGTCGTGGGTTCGATTCCAACCCCAATCTACTGTGAGATATTTCACAAGTATTTGGTAACGTACCGGTGTTGGTAACGTACAGGTACAGGTGGGCAATAAAAACATCGCTACTGAAATTTCCTGCAAACAAAATCGAAATAATCATAGTTTTGAAGACGTTATCACATACCTGAAAATCAACACACATCATATAACTTTACAATTATAACTTATTAATTATCTATCAATTAAAAATTTTGAGTTAACTACATAAACTAGGATCATGATTATAATTTATAAGTCAGACCTTAAATTTAGGCCTAATAAGCAGGCATATTAGCATAAAATAGGCTTTTCCAAATGTAAACAAATTAAATATTACCAAATTTTGCAAATAATTATACATGAATTGCAGAACATAGCCATCGCTTGTAGAATCTGGGCAAAGAACAATGTCATTACTGTATATTTCTCGTTCAAATCGATGCGGTAGTTCGACTTCCAATGCGACGACTCATTGCGACAAAAAACGATTTTTAAGAAAGGGCCCATGGTTGTCTATGTTTATAAATGTTTTGACGAAATTAGAGATAGGTCTATCGTCTGTTGTGACATAAGGAAAACCTTTAAAATAATTCAATAATACAGTAAATTAAACTGCACATTTATAAGTATTCAATGAAATACCGCAAATCATATTGAGATTTAAATAATTGATTGAAAATATATAAAATAATAAAAAAATAAATAAATAAAAGTAGCACAGTGATATATTCAGTATTGACGATCGTTGGCGCATGTGTTTTGTGCCTAAATAAATAAATAAAAATAAATAAACAAAAATAAATATAGATCAAACCATGTATTCAGTTTACACTGATTGATTTTCAGAGACCTTTATTCCACAATTCCAGTGGCTTAAAAAGGTTATTATAAATTATGGTTATATGCAGTAAAACTGTCTGTATTATTGACACGCCTTATTAATACGATTTTAAAAAAATTCTAATTTCAGATTGAAAGCTAATAAGTTACTTTACTTGAATTCACATAGTAATTATATTTGATAATTTTATATCGGTACAGTATTTTTTTAATCCAATGAAATTTGGTTTAGGTGTCACTTTCATGATGCAAATTGACCAGATACGTTTACGTACGAGAGACAACATGGCAGAAAGTGTTGAGTCGCCGGAATACAACCCTGCAATTATTGCAGATAGTGCAGCAGTTCCAGTGACTTCTGACGTTGATGAGCTTTCGAAAATTGCAGCCAAGGTATTTATCTATTATCTTGTGCGATATAAATGATGATAAATATTCATGAAATGTAACCCTTGTGTTATTATTCGCACTAGCATACTCTACTGCTAGGCTAGGCCCTGGCTGTCCCTTCTTTATCCTCTTCTAAAAAAAATGGGCAGGGGGCAGTACTCGGCCTAGGCCCGTTGACATATACCACAATCAAGAAAGTAGCCTAAGCCTAGCTAGCCGACAACACTTGTTTAGCTTGCTGCTAGCTTTGGCAAGCAATTTAAGCAGGTTGAATAGATGACTCAGACGCACACTCTAAAAAAGTATAGTTATTTATTTTATTTGCGTGGAAAGTCTTGAATTGAAAACCAACTCAACTAAATTTTGCGTTTGAAATTGGCCTAATTTTTTGGGAAAATTGCACAGAAATCTGTCGTAACTGTATGTACTTTCCGAAATGTGCAGACAAAATTTTTACTATGCCTAATTCTTGCTTCCTGCAAAAATATTATTTTACTAATAATGCTGTTTACCTACAGTAAGTAGGCCTAGGCCTAGACTGACGCTCTACAACGAATGTACAGTATGTTTGTTATCTACATACAGTAGGTTGAGTGGTTATTTTGTGGCATTTAATGTCCAGAAACTGATTATATTTTTGTTGCTTGTATGTATGATTGCTAAGTGATCAAGATTCAGATTTACATGTTTAACTGCAAACAATGTATTCATAACCAAGCTGAAACTGACAGTAATTTTAATGAAAGGTATTATTTCTTGATGTGTAATTTTTATTGACCATTTAAAAAATAAATATGTAAATTATAATTAAAGAATTGTTTGTTTTTCAAAATAATAAAACAGCACAATGTACCTAACAACCACTATTTAAAACATAAATAGCTGTTGCATTTGCAAATGCATTAAGGGGCCAGGCACCCAAGGAATATTTCTCAAAGGAGTGAACACCTTGACCTCAAGGACACAACTCTAAGTCAGCTGCACTTGGATAAAAAACAAATAAAAGATTCCATCATTTATGATTCTCTGCTCAATTTCATGTGAACTTTTTTAGTTGAAATAATGTTTTTAACTATCCATTAAGCCATGCACTCACTGTGTCATACGACCATTGGCCGATGAATCCAACTCCACTCCCCACTGTATGAGTGATGGACAGTCGGTGGCAGTCAAAAAGCAACCTGTTGCACTCGCGTCCTGGCTTTACATCCTACATACTGTAGAATCATGTCGGTCAACGACCGTCGGGCTCTGTGAGTGTAAAAAAAAGTAGTTTCTCATCCTAATATTTAGAAAAACGGAGAATGAAGGCAATTTGAAAAAAAAAAAAAATTCCGGGATGGCAAATCCAGGATGGTCAATGGGAAACAGCTACTACTTTCTCACTTTTACCAAGTAGACACATTAAAAGCAAATAAAAGAAGCACTAGACATGATTCATACCATATCTATCCCCAACATTATCGATCGAGAGAGGAATTTTACTGATGTGAGTTAGCCAGATTTTCGTACATTTCATAAAGTAAAGAAAAAAAAAAATGGTGAGGTAGAAAAAATGGATGCGCGAGGGGACAGGAAACTACCGTAGTAGTGACATTTTTTGTTTTTAATTTAGAATATTTCATGAGGGCCAATCACACCTACCTGTAGGATGTTTCAGAGCTGCTAAGAAATATTTATGAATTTTCGTTGAGCTACCCAAAAAGGACAAGTGGTCCACGTTTCTGAGTTGCCAACATACAGTTAGCAAAGACATCAAATCAAGAAACTTATATGAGCTCTTTACGCAATTTGCATAAAACCGATTGATTACATACATGATTTCATGATTTTTATTCCTCAGTACTTTTTGTTCATATCAGATACTCCACTTGACCTCTTTTTGGCTAGGCTAGTTTCTTAATTTATAAATATTAATAATGATAATGATTAATGAAATAATAGTTAGTCAGGGGTCTTATTTATGGTTGTAATATGTACACGAAACCTGAAGGTGGCTCTCTCCTACAGTGGCCATCTTGTTGAGTACACATACACAACTGTGAATCGCTTCGTTGCCTAGTCAGCATAGTTGTTTTATAGCTCTATGATATTAATATAATTGTGGGCAAGGGCGTCACCGTGGGGTCGAAGTGGGGAACTGGGAAATTCTATAGGCAGAATAAACCTGTCTGAGAGTTTCTTTAGAATGGATGGATGCATGTGAATAATTTTTCGCCATACTGTAGATACCCTAAATTGTTTGTATCCACTGCTGTTTCTTTTATCCTCTTCAGATTCGACAAGCCAGGCCTCCTAGACCTTGCGTCCAACTCACTATCCAGGTAGTGTGCTTTGCTTGCTATGTTCACCATAGTTTCTTTTTTTTTGTCAACCAGGCTTGATATATTATAACAGTGGCAGTATGCTAATTCAGGGGTTATGTTTCAAAATAAAAGACAGACTTTTGGCTCTCATCATTATTATTATTATTTTAATGCTATATTATTAGTGTTAAGCTTTTGTTTAAATTGACTACACCTATTTTCATTGCACGATTTCATATTGTTTTTTGTTGATTAGAACTTGGGAATGAAATTTATTGTTTAATCATAATGTGATGAATTTGATTAATACTGTAGGAGAAATACTATTCAATTTCTCATTATAGGCTTTACAAATTCTTGTCTGGTGGTTGCATGATTGTTTAATTAAGAGCTGTATGAACAATAATATGTTTAGGATCGAATCATTAAATATTCCTGTTACAGTAGTAGCTGTCTTCTCTTTGATTCATTAAGAGTTCCTTTCAGAGTGATTATGGCCTCGATCTATTTGCCATGGTCTTCTGGGGTTTTATATCATTTATTTTAATTTAAAGTTGTCTGCCTGCTGAGGATATTGCTGATTCAGTTTCCACCGAGACTTTTCTTGTCTGTTCAAAATATCAGTTGTAAATTGAATTTATAATTTTTTTTTTTTTGCATTGTTGTCCGATTCCAGGGCCGTATCTAGGATTGCAAGGGGAAGGGCGGGGTATAGGGTATACCAACTTGGGTATTGGGGGGTTGTCTAGAATCCTGGGGTTAATTGGCAGGGGTTTGATCCCAGTTTCGGTATTGTAGAGATTAATCGCCAATCGGACCTCCCTGGATACGGGCTTGGATGCTAATCTTAGATGGTGCATTGTAATGTTATTGTGAGAGTTGTACTGTTATTTTTGCATGTTTAACCTCATTTTAACTGGCTGGGAATCATCATTCATGTGTGGCATTATTTTAGCTGACATTAAAAGGACCTTGGCATGTGCAGTGGACCCACATAAGTTGTGGATTTAACTGGAGTAATTTTGTTGCTTTAAATATAAGATTTGAATATATAACTAATGTACATGTTATCAAGTCTTTTTTGTTGTCATTATCATGTTGATTTCCTTCAAAGAATAAAATAAAACACTACACTGATCAAGTCTTCTTTGACAAATATGATATGCCCATCAAATGGGCATGCTGATGCCGGGCAAACCATCAGGCAAAATATATATTATATATTATTATATTATATCCCTTAATATTGAGGAGGGATGGTAATCTAACAGTTTTTTGGGTTTTTTTTAAAGGAGCTTACTAAATATGATATGTACAATTTTGCTGATCATTAAATTACCATTAATTTATTATACTAACAATAATAGTGGTATATTAAAGCAAGTTACTGTAGATAGTGAAAAGGTAATTGCAGGTTTTAACATTTGTACAGTAATTATGAATATTATCAATTCTTTGAGTTGGTTGTGCAGTACCAGCACTTTTGTGTTACAGAATACAAATACTATGCTAAAAACCTCTGTCTGTATAGCAATTGTTCAGCAAACACATTTCACAGGCTTGAAATACATTGTTTGATCATAAATAACCTGATTTTTAAAAGTAGTTTGTAACCTACTGTAATAAAAAAAACTCAACGATTTGGTTTTTAATTTGAGGTAATAAAGGCTTGTTCACTGGAAATGTGTATTATATGCTGTAGAACTGATTGATTAAAAACTCAAGAATGTTTAATGAGATACAGATTGTTGAACATTGAAAAACTGGGGGGAAATGGGTGTAACTACCACCATTTTTAAAAATTCAAAAATCTGTATCTCATTAACCATTCCCAAGTTTTTCATCAAACAACTTTATTGTGTCTTAGAAAAATCAGTTCTACAGCATATCAAAAAATTGTTTTCCTCTGGAGCCTGACTTTAAGTTTGTCCTCATCCCAGTGGCAGTGCTAGCAAGGGGCTATGAGGTTAAGTCCCCTTTTCTGACAAGACAAGGATGTGATCCACCCAGTCATTGGACACTTCTTGATATTTTTCAATTTTAGTTCATTTTTTTCTTCTCAACCGCACTAGCTCAGTTCATCAAGCAACACATGATCACATGTTCACACTCAGGGATGTAAGATTGTGTCAACTCAGACTTCTCAATTTCTACATAGTTGCTACAGAACTTTTTCGTAGTTACGGATGTACGGGAATAGACAAAAACACTACAGAAATTTAAAATAGGCCTAGACCCATATAAAATACAGTAGGTCTAAATTCCAGAACAAATTACCTTTCCATCAGGTTTGGTTACTGTACATTGTTCCTAGACAACTCATACTTGTCAGATTACTAATAAATTTATTGTAAAAAAATTAAGATAAAGACTGTAAATCTTCATCCTTTCTTTGAAATTCCACAGCTGTTATTATCATATAGGGCCTACCTGTAATTTAAGCAACCCATGTTTGCACTCAAGACAAATTCTTGTGCTACTGGAAATTTTGTATTTACTATGGATATTTGAAGATCTGGTTAATACTGAAATGCATTTTATTAAGCTTGAGAGGTCCCTGAAATAAACTCACAGTGTCATGAAAACCTGACATTAAAAACTACTTGCACAAAACTACTGCTATACAAGTTTGAGCTTTCTCTAATGCCTAAATTAAGTCCACTCTAAACAAGATAATCACCTAACACCAGCATTTGTTGACTGCCAAGCCTTTTTTTCTAGTTTCATCCCATACGCCCAAGCATGAGTACACCACCATATTGAAAATTAATTCCCAACGACTGTAGTGAAGCATGAAAAAACATACAGCATTTATTTTTAGATCATTAATTTTGGGTTCTTCCCTGAACTACCCACCACTGCCAGTGAATTTACGTGCAATAAAATAGTGGTATTTTTAGACGGTGTGGACGTGAACTCGTGTTCCTGGCAGTGAACGCATTAAAATAGTACCCTAATAATTATTATGTTCCTTCAGTATTCATCAACTGTCTAATTAACATGTTCAGTTAAGATAATTAATATTCATTGACATAAGCAAGTATACTTCTAATTTCAACATAATGGCACACAATCTTATCCCCCCCCCTCCAACATTTAAGGAATGCTAGTATGTTTTTTAACTGACTATTTTTTAAGCAAATCTGGATCAGAATATTTTCACAAAGTAATTACTATTCGTCTTCTAGTACCCTCATATTTATTAACATTTGCATTCTTTGTCCATTTTGTACTACTGGCACCTACCGTACTATTTAAAAAAATTAAACTGCTTAGTGCTAGCGTGCAAGCTAATTCCATATTGTTAGTATTAATTTCAGGTTGTGTGTATTCATTGCAACAAAGGAAGGTTTTGCAGAAGCAATGTACATTGAGGACAGAGTTAAAACATAAAGGATGTATTTTGAAAGGGTTGTTGTGTTTTAAATGGATTCAATAGAAATGAAAGGTTTCAAATATTTTTCACAGGATGGGACTCTATTGGAAGCCATGGAGATCAACGTCAGCGAGCAGGAGAAGCGCACAACCCAGACCGCCATGGGTATGAAGGACGTCTATACGGTGTACTATGTAGAAACCAGGTAAAAACTCGAAACGATTTCAATTAAACCACCATTAACAGGTGTTTGCCATTGTTATGTTTTATCATTGACCCAACAGGATTTTCCTCAGACCATTTCCATCCATCATTCTTAGTTTTCAGAAATTTAATCTCAAAGTTTTTTTTTTCAGTTTTACACCCGTCGTTGCTCAGAAATTTGGTTTCGTTATCATATCTGCTTTGTGTATATCGCTGACATATCAGTTTCTAATAGTGACATGATCATAAAGCCTGAGTTCACAGTAAACCGGCGATTGTTAGCATTAATTTTGAGCCAAATGTTTCTCGTCAACTGTTAGGTAACATCTGAGACATAATGCCAGACTAAACACATGCCAAGTGTCGATCCAGACACTGATCATAATCGGAATTTAAAACTAAAGTCAATAAAATCTTGCGCACTCCACATTAAATATAATTATAGTGTCTGTGTTTACATCAAAAACCTGTGCAAACATCATACAATATAATATAAACATTAATTGTGTAAACAATTACATCAGGTTTTCAATAAACATTACAATAGGTTTCTTCAGTATAAACCAGTAGTTACTCACTCTGTGTATGCTGTTCCATTTCACTCTCAGTTCAATTTCATCAGTATGAGAAGATCACTTAAGCTTTTGCCGCTTACACTCTTGTGTTTTTATGTTTAGAAGGATCACAATTATCATTTATTGTCCCTCAATAAAGAAAGTCGTTTGGCCCAGAGTTGAAACAAGGATTGTACAATATTCAAAAATGTACTAAAACTCATCTATTTAAAAATGTTTAAACAAATTGTTGTAACAAATTACCACCAAAGACTCTTGTGTGAGTATGGAAACTGCAGAGGTCAGCTCATCCATAGTTTTATTAATGTTGACACAAACACTATCTCTTTAAAAAATGGTAATAAAGGGGATTAACTACAATCCTGGGCATTTGCAAGGGCAGTTTGTGTTGGGTATGTTCAGTGGTTTAACATTGTGGATGGTAGACTATATTTGACTACTTTTTAAAACTTTTACTATTCTAATTGTATAGTGTCAGAATTTTGGAAGGATATATTTTTCTTTGATTTATAGCCAAAAAAGAGTCCCCTTTATTATTGGGTATCCCAAATGAGAGGTTCTTTATGTATATTATGTACAAATATACTGATCTGTGTTTTAAATAAGTGATACTATGGTGTGCTGCAATTGGTTGTTTGTCGCTGTGTATATAACAAAACCACTTTTGTTGTATACACAACCGCTGTACGTATAGCCAGTCCCTTTAAATAATAGTCTTGAATGAGATATTTAGATTGTTGATTTTTTTTCCCAGTATTCATATTGTCTGACTTTGTGTTGTTTACCAACCTTTACCATTTAAATTGCTTTCCATAACAATGTGTTTTAACCCTTACTCTATTTGACAACCATCATTTTAACCAGTCATTTGGGGAGGTTCAACTCTACAGTACTGCTAACTATTAAGGTAATGTTCAATACTACTATACTACAGTATAAGGTCATTTAGTATACAGTAGTAAATGACCAAAACAGCCGTAGCTAATGTTGCATTGTTTTATATAGTAAAAAGGATCAACCTTTATCCAAGCTGATTACTTTAACTACCCTGGCAAAGGAAACCACATTTACCACATACTATTGGTAGGTCTGTATCACTAGGCAGATGCACCTTCCCACATCCTATCTGCCTTATCACTTTCAGCTCATGTTTAGATTTGACATTGAATTCTGATGTCCACTGCTCTTGTGTCAACCAATGAGATTCTCTTAAATTTCAGGCAATGAAGTATTAAAAACTGTGCTATAGAGTTGTAACTATGTAGAAACATGTGACAAGACAACAGCCAATTGAAGATTACCTGACAAACACGCCATCGCGTCCCTGGGATACAATAGTGACCCGGTTTGCTTATGACGATTGATTCCCATGTAAGCACAGTGGAATTTCCTGATAGCTTTCTTATTCACAGCTATTCATTTATGTACAAGATTTGCATTGAGTCCTGCACTTTGAAAAACTCACCTTTGTACAGTATGCTTGTACAGTGCACCCTCTACTGTAATTCGAGACTCCTGTAAATCCGAGACAGTTCTAATTCGAGACAACTTTTTCAAAGAACAAACATCCAATCCTAATCTTTCAACACAGAGCTAACCTTCTAATAAAAGGCTGAACCAGCCCAAATTTCAGGTCTCAAAGCTGGAGGGCAAACTGTACTTATATCTGAACAATTTTCATACACTTATTAAATATAATAATAATAAATTTATTCTTATATAGCGCAAAATGCAAGAAACCTCTAAGCGCTTTACAATGAAAGGAAAAACCGGATCAAAATAAAAGAAAAATGATTACAACAGTGAGGGAAATCAGGTTAACATTATGAATGAATATTTATTTATTTATTTTAATTTATTTTATTTCATAATTAATTTATTTTATTTTATTTTTATTTATTTATTATTTATTTATTTATTTATTTATTTTATTTTTCCTTTCAATTACCTTCTCATTCCAGTTGGTTACTTTCCAATTTATTATTGATTTCTTATACATTCAACTATTTCATTTTCACAGTTTAAATATTTCTTATGTGTTTGGCTTGTCATCCTTTCCTCACAGCCCCTTATACTTAATAATATAATTGATACAGTACTGTAGGATGTAAGGGGTCCCAAGTTTGGAGAAGTCATTTCTGGGAGATATGGTATGATTGTTTGGGTTACCTGACATTGTATTTTGCTGTGTATGGTAATACCCATTGACAGGGAGACAATGGACCTTTCTGCTAAGCCTGGTATTGTTGCCAGGATCCCACTAAGTCATCCCCCCCCAAATCAAGATCAGGTAGTTAAAATCACCTTATTTTGTAAGTTAGCGCCCCCTCACCTGATCATTGTTCCCTCAATTGATCATCGTTCCCTCCACTTCACCTTTGCGCTCCCATCCTAACACCACTTCAAAGAGAGAAGAAATGAAAAGGAAGGAGAAAGATGGAAGCACAGTACTACAAAACAAGCTAATTTTCGATTTAATTTCCATGTATGTCAAGCTTCATCTTAAACACCAGCCCCACTCCCTCCCCTTCCGTGCTTTGGCCCCTACACAGAGTCTTCTATAAATCCACCCCTGCAGAAAAAATATGTTTCTAGTACCTAAAAATTGTTGTGTTGTTTTAAAGTATAGTTGACAATTGAAAATCAGTCAACAATTTATTTTTAACTGTACTAGCCCTGGGCCTAAAAGTCAATGCCAACCATCACTCACCCCATACATTTTGGCCTGGTGAAATGGCAACCACAGAGCTAAAAAATCTATGGTTAAAGTATCACAATTATTAATTGCAGCTTGAAATAGTGGCCTTTTCAATCACCACTGAAGTTTTTTGGGCTGCTTGTAAATAAATATGATTTTCGCCGAAAGGAAATCTGGACTCTAGATTATTAAAACCCTGACCCCTTATCCCCATCATGGCATACCGTTAAACCTCAAATTGAAGCCCAATGGGCTTAATCTTGAGAAGAAGCCCATCTCTAATTGAAGCCCACCTCTTCAGTTAGCAAAATTAGCTTTAAAGTGAAGCTCATGGGCTTATTTTCAATGTAGCATAGGCTTCTTTTGCGAGATAGTACAGTACATAAAATAAAATTAAAAAAATGCTTGGTTTAATTATACAGTAGTTTTGGTGATTTAATGCCAGGTAAGAACACTCTATGATACAGATTGATTTTACAGTGGCCCTATTTATTGTTTTGTAGTACTAATTCCCAAAATTTACAGCATTCATTTTTAAAAGAATTCCCCCACCCCCTTTTTACTTTGCAAAATTAGCCTTGAAAAAAAGTCCATCTCGAAAAGATTTGTTTGTAAAAAAAGAAGCCCAGCGCTATAATTTGAGGTCTTGCGGTATACAGTAGCACATACTGTAGGATTCCACAAAGATGCCTAGGTAGGAGCTCTTGTACCTCACACTTGCACTGAAATGAAACTTTAGTGTACAAGGAATTAGAATGCTAAATTTGTGAAACAATGTACCTTTCCGTTAAGTTCCGCCCCTTGGATATTGTTGATAAAACAAAAACAAAAACTAAGCGTAAATGTATGCAAACATGTGCGTTTGTGAAACAAACACTTTTGTTTCTAGGACATGTGCACATATTCCTCGCACCGTTCTAATTGGTTGCTTTTGTATTCCCTTGGCGTTAGTTGATTGAGGTTAAGTAATTGTTATCTGATGCTTCTGAAACAAATACAGAACAAACAATCAATAGTATAGTGTTATACTGTACATTATATTTATGGTCTGTAGTATAGATTTGTCCATTCCTTAATAAATGTTGAATTTGTACGATTTACTGATTATTATTTTTTATTATTTTTATTCTTTGATATTGTGTTATAAAATCAAGCAGTCTTTTATCATAAATTAATAAATACATCTTACAAACTATACAAAGAGAAAGAATTATTTATGAAACAACATAATCTGTGGAATGATTTTGATTTTTTTTAGTTTGGTTGAGGCCTACAGATAAAAGGCTTCAGCTGTAGGCTATTGTAGACAATGCCTCGATATGCTTGAGAAACTATGCCATTCAGTGACCTTTTGAAACCTAAAACTATGCTTTAGTGTTCTGGATTTACCATAGCATGGGAAACTCGATTAAACCTGACAATTAGTTGGGCATTGTCAACACTTCAGACTGAATCATAAATGCACATTTCATGGTTTAAAGTTTTCAATTAAAAAAAAGAAACAACTTGAAAACTTTTTCTTTCTGATATATACAGCCTACAGTAGTACTCTAAGGTGGTAATACATGTCTTCATCTTTTGCAGTCAGTATACAATATTCTTTCTGCCCTGTCTTTTATAGTTTGTTAATGTAGTCAGTCATTCATTGTCAGTTGTTTACTTAGAATGTTGCATACAAAATTTAAATTAGCTAAAGAATAATATTATTATCGGTTGAATTGCTTTCAGCTGGTAATGATTTATGATGAAACCTTGCTTCAGATGATTTTTTAATCCATATGATCCATATGTCCCTGAAAATCAAGCACTCTTGGTCACAGGCTTCATATTATTATTTTAAACTGTTTTCTTGCCTACACTAACCCAGGAGGGGTAATTTTTTCCAAGCTCTATGGATCTTTCCCTTCTGCCCCTTGTGTAGAAAATGGCTGCAACAACAATTTCTATTATTCATTTAAATTATTAAATATTTTACTGTTCAACAAACCCAAGGCTAAACGCTGACTGAACAGTGATCACAATATAAATACATCATCATGTCCGCGGCAATGTCATTTTTTTGGCGATAATGAATTTACATTAATTCTTAAGTATACAGTACCTTGAATTGGTTGGATAAACTAATTGTAACTGTTAAGTCATCTAATCTGGAAAAGAATTTGATAATAAATATTTGAAAGTAAGTTATTACAGTTACAGAATGGTACCCACAGGTTATCAAAACAAACTACTGTTGAAAGACATAAGTCTTCTGGTCTTGCCCTAAATGAATTTAGAGAAGAGTTGTTGAAAACTAGTTAGTTGTTTTTGGAATTTTTTGGTATGTAGAGCCCACTGTACTGAACAAAACAAAATATGTTATTTCAATTGAGTTTATTGTATCTCAGTAATGTTGCATACTTTATGTAACCAAATCAAAAACAAACCTTGTCTTGCCTGGCTGATCCATATAATAGCTTTAACTGTAACCCACCACTTGTGAGGTCACACAGACCTGACGCGACAAAAAATCGCATTGGGCTGCGTCATTCGACACTGTCTGAGTTGACCTTTAGTTGCGCAATGAGCCTTAAAAATCTTAATCTTTGTCCACGTTATCAAATTTTTTGTGATAAATTTGTGTGATGTACCCACATTTGGGTACAACAATACCCATATTACACCCAAATATGGGCATGTCACATTTATTTGTCATATGAAATTTGATGGTGGGGCCAGACAGTTAGCCTACTGTGAAATACTTGTTTCAAAAGGCCGTTTTCGAGCTTTACAGTTGTTATTAATACAGTATCATACAAGATCATTGATCTTGAACCCTATAGTTACCATATTTTTATCGACCAAAATGCAGATGATGTACAGTAGGTGGTTAGTAATGAACCCTAGACTTAGGCCTATGCATGACTGAGCCGATAGTTAAAAAAAGTTAATGCCGACTGAGTAATCCTTATTTCCAAATGGTTTGTTTTTGTCTGATGTGGAAGAAAATGAATGATAAATTTAAAATTAAATGTTTTGTACAGCAGCTACATGGAAACCATTTTCATAGAATATTAAGTACATAATAATGTCAGAAGCCAAGGAAACCTGATTGTATTATATCAGTTGCTCTGATTTCCAAGAAAATACTCATTGTATATTGACATAGTCGTATTCACTTAAGTTTAATGAACTATATGAATAAGAAGAATAAACAAGAAAGTCGTAACTCAATATTTGAGGAAATTGAGATTTTTTTTATGTTGTTTTAAGCAGAACGAAATAGCATAATCTTGTTTTGATTTTCAAGAATATTATTTTAAATAGTTATAAAAATAGTTGACTATTTTTTTTAATTCAACAAAGTTGGGTTACACTGGAAGGATGTTGATGTGTGTCACACTAACAGCACAACAACAAAGAAACATGCACTCAGCTAATGGTGATGTGCCTATAGTGAAAAAATATTTCTGACCCATCATAATTTCCAAATATCTCTGTTCTTAGGCAACAAAACAATGGAACCTCCCACTAAGTTCCCTCCCTTGAATATTGTTGCTAGGATTTCACAGAACAACAGTGTTAAAAAAAATACGCAAACATTGCATTTGTGGGACAGTAAGTGTGTTTGTAAGACATGTTTACCGTAAACGCTTGAATACGCGCCGCAGTGCTTATAGCATTTTTGGAGGCTTTAGTGCGGCGCTTATTCGAGAGCTGCGTTTATTCGAGAGCAGCGCCTATAAAATAATATTGGAGTGGCGCTTTACAGTTCATGCCCTTTCCCATTTTACCTATCTCGTGTATTTCTGTACTGTATATTGGTAGGCCTATCATAGGTCCTAGTCATCGTAAATAAAATCAAAGTGTTTCATTACACACAGGGTAATATTATGAGTGGTGCTTAGTAAAAATAATCAGGTTTAGTGCTGCGCTTATTCAAGAGCAGCGCTTATTCGAGCATTTATGGTACTCCTGGCCTTGTTCTGATTGGTCAAATATCAAATTTAATTGACACTCTGGAAAAAGATGATTTTCTTGGCCTTATTGTAGAACTAATCAATTGTCATGCATGCTACACATTCTGACATCAGCGTGCATGTGTAAATTGATTTAATTTTGATTAAATTGATTCACCACAGCCAATTGTAATAGATATAATAGAATATTTAAATTTCATCTTTAATAGTTATTAGAAGAATGAATGCTTGTTCAGCATGAATCAGCTTTGAGAGTCACTTTAAATTATGGCTATTCTTATATTGACCTGCCATCTTGGCTGAGGACCAAGCATGGTTTGATAAAAAGAAAATAACTGAAATTATACAAATTCCTGGAAGGTAATAAGTGGCCCTGACATTATTATGAGTAACATCTATTATTTGAACCCAAAGTCTACTGACCAACTAGAGTGTAAATTACCAAGAGTCATAAAAGTCTTTCATTATTAAATTATTGTCCAGACAAGACAAAAATAGAAACACCGAAAATTACACGTTTTCTTTGTGTATTAAGAAACTAAAAAACACGTACCAGATACATTACGGTAGATTCTCTGAATATAGAACTAAAATAAGAGACTTGCATTAAGAGGCTAAATCCGAACTCTCATTGTGCCCAATGGAGAACACAATGCAATGAAGAACGCAATGAAACAACAGTGCAATGGATTGTTTTTAAAAGACAATTCGTTCCAACTGCCACCGACAATTAGTAGACTGCGTTGCGTTGTCAAGTACTCACAGGTAGTGGGGTTGGATTTGTTGTGTGATGATTGTGCAACCGCCGTACGACTCAGTGCTCGGTTTTAGGGACTGAAGTTGTTGTTTTAGTCCACCGCTCCTACACAGGCACACCTCCATGTTCAAACAAATTTGAGGTGCTTTAACTGTTATTGTATTAAAAGGCAAACACTTTGGCCAACAAATACAATTAATTTTTAATGCAATGTACATTCCATACTTTCTATACAACACATATTTTTTATATTTAATGCCATAAGCCATAAATGATATGCTTTTTTTTCTTTTCTTACAGAGTCAAAGATGGAACCAGCAAACCACTGGGTGAAGAGGCAACTTCACTGTGGAGGCGTTACAGCGAGTTTGAACTTCTTAGAAATTACCTTCTTGTGACCTACTCACACGTTGTCATTCCTCCGCTGCCAGAGAAGCGGGTAAGCTCCTCGGCTTTTATATGTATCTATAACTTTCTAGCACTTCTGGTATAACTTATGCTTTATGATAGAGATGCTACATGGAGAGCCATATTAAGGCACAGCACCTCTGACAAAATTCTAGGATGAGTATCTATGTGGTGTTTTGTATCTGGATGAGTATCTATGTGGTGTTTTGTATCTGCATGAGTATCTATGTGGTGTTTTGTATCTGGATGAGTATCTATGTGGTGTTTTGTATCTGGATGAGTATCTATGTGGTGTTTTGTATCTGGATGAGTATCTATGTGGTGTTTTGTATCTGGATGAGTATCTATTTTGATCGTTTATAAATAATTAAATGTTTTCATTGGATTAATGATTCTGTCTTCTTTTATCCCCAAAACAAAGACGATCTATTTATTTTTTAAGTTGGGTTTCTTTTGTAAAGAATATGTTTGTTCTGATTTAAATCATTCTTCCAGTCTATTTATTTTCAAACAGAGTACAGTAAATGTTCATTAAAGAACATGAAAGAACAGGGAGAAAATGAACCCTGGAATCATCCCGAAATTTGAGGGGATGCTCATAGGACATGCAAGGACACCTAACAACTAAGTCAGACAACACAAGGTCAAATAAAAATGTAGAAATTATAAATGATATTAAATTTTTAGTATTTTGTATGAACCTTAAATTATTAGACAGTTCTGTTGATGATTAAAGTTAAAACAGATATTAAACAGTGCAGATTGCTCTATCGCAGATTTAAGATTTGAGAAGATGACGTGCTATTAATTAGCCTATCCGCGTCAGAGGAACTGAGATTGTCTGGATAGAATTTATAAACATTCAGATAAAAAAGGCAGTGTGAATTGTGTGTGTTTTAATCTTGTCCAGATTATCAAATTTTCTTCGACAAAAAAATTATGTATGCCCATATATAGTCATGATGTGCTTATATATGGTCATGATGTGATATTGTCATGACCATATTTAGGCATGTCACATGTTTTGATAGTCTGGACAGGGTTTTAAGATGGCTGAAAGAAATAAGATGGGGAGGAATTGTTTTTTAAGATTTACGCTAGAAAGACTTTATCTTAGAAGACTACATACAAGTGCGTGCGTAGAGTACATGTTCGTAGCCTTGATGGCACAAATTTTTAAATTCTAATTTGACCTAGACTTCAACTCAGTGATTCACATTGATAAACAGTTTGAAGTACGACTTGTTTAATTCCCAGTTGTAAAGTAGTCCGGGACAAGATGATGGCAACGAATATCATACAATGACAAGAGGAAGCCAGCAAAATTTCTGAGGAACCAACCGGTAAAAATGCCAAAGAAAATTTGTATCCCGTCCATGGTTTGACAGCATAATTCCTGATAACTCGTGCGAGATTATGCTGATAATTCTATAATACTAAACGTATTTGTAAATTGACATAAAATATAACCAGAAGTTTAGTACAATTATTGGAAGTTGAAGTTAAAAAAAGGTGTGCTTTTAACAAAAAAAATCTTGGATTAGACATTATACATTTTTGAAATATGACCAGTAGCTTTGCTTGTTGTCTGACATTGACAACCAACAAATTTGCACTCTCATCGATAAAATTGCTGAGAAAAAAAATTATGCTTCAGTAGTTAAAACTCACCTCTTTCCCAGTTAGCACTTCCCACTTGTCCATTGTGCCCATCACCCGCTCCTTCATGTCAGTACTTCCATTGTAGACATGCCACATTCATATTCAAGCGGAGCGGGAAGCCTGTTGCCCCCCCCCCCACAAAAAAAAAATTACAAAAAGTGAGTAGAAGTACTAAGAAAATAACAGTCAAATTTAAGTTTGAGGGTGTCATTTCCAGCAATCTAAAAGTGCCATACTGTACTGACTTAAAATTTTGTCTAGACACCCCACTGTCATCCTCCCACCCCCTTTCCCCCTCTATTTTCAAATTCCTCAATCCGCCACTAGTGACAATTGGATTTAAATGGCGCTGGATTTCAATCCAATATTAAGTTTACAGTAGGTGACTTGCATCTACTGTAGTAAGGTTGAAAATAACATGTACCACTTAACAGCAAGTGCACACTTAGCTTTTGAGTTGAGACCTAGTGTGGTTCTGTCAAAATCACTTTCCTCCAATGCTATTTTTTATGTTTTAATTATAAAAAAAATATATATTTCTACATTGGCATGTTAATTTCACACATTTTAAAGCTGTTGAAACATTTTTTTTTTCACATAAAAATACATTGATTACATTATAGCAGATGTATGGACCAAATCGCTAAACTGATAAAGCGCAGGGGTGAAATAAACTACAAGGATTGGATAAAAGCCTTGAACTGACATAAATTTTCTGTTCACTACATGATTGGCGGCTTGTTGCCCTCTGCCTCATCTAGGACTATTTAAGGTTGTACTGACTGCCAAGCTCTTGATCTATTAATAAATCCTCGCCACTCTGATTGCCTATGCTGTAAGCACATGAGTTCCTGTACTTGAATGTTATTTCAATTTGGTGTGAGTTCGTCTGGGATGGTCTGCCTCTCAAGGTTGCTGGTCCAGTCAGCTTCGTTAGAGAGTATCACCTGTGTTTTTTGGTCAAGGTGTCCGGGGGGAAAATTATTTTCCCACCCTTCTAGTTGGCTGAACTTTGCTCCTCCTACTCCGGGCATTTTATGATGATTCAAACTCATAACTGTACTATGAGAATCTACAGAAGGTTGCTATAACCAATATTTTGCTTCTTCATATTTTGTCTTTTTTAGTGTTTGATTTTTACCATTACAATACTTTACTATACTATGATTTGACACAAAAACCCAATGAGGCTTGCCATCCAAGGGGCTAATTTAGGTGGATCTGGGCAGGCCCTGCCATCTTTCTCACCTCCCCCCCCCCCCTTCCCACTTTTTGGAAAGTAAAAAAAAAGGAAGAAAGAAAGAAAACAAAAGAAAATTGATCGGCCAAAATGCCTCAGAGGTTATTTTCGGGTGTCTAGAACACAAAAATTTTGCAGGGGAACTCCTTTACCTAGTTGGCTGTCCCATTACAAAACAACGTATCTGCTTTTATAATTTTGATAAGTTACGTTGTTTTGCCTTGGTACGGCCGCAGTGTTATCTCAATCGGCCCCATTTTTTGGTCCCCCTTTCAGACATCTCTGGATTCGCCCCCGGTATTAAACATTTGGTACAGAGAAACTGTAATAATTACTCATAACTTTTGTAGCAAGTCAATTCTAGTAAATGACCTATTATTTTAAAGCTTATAATGTGTTGAGTATGATATTAAAAAGTAAATTTTCTTGTTTCGGTCACTGATGGTGGTTTTGGCGTGGCAAGCACCAAATATAAAGAGAGTGTTGGACAGAAAAACAGGCTGTGGGTACCTCCTCAATTTTTAGATGGTGAAAACTAAAATGCAATAGTTATGAACCTAAAGACAAAACAAAAAATGACACCTTATAAAATAAAAGAAAAACTAAACATTATTAAGTACTGTGGGTTTAATGGGTGTCCTTAAGATAATTTCATAATACTCATTTGTCCACACTTATATTTATGAGACAAACTTTTGCGATGTGCCCATATATGGGCATGATGATGATTTATTATACACAAATATGGTCATACCACATTTGTTTGTGTTAATAATTGCTTTAGACACCACTTTCGCTTATGATTGTAATTGTTTTGATTGTAATTATTTTTATATTTTCAAAAAATTTCATTGAAATGGAAAATAAATTATGAACTGATGATGAAAATAATTGAAACAAATTGTGGCATTTTTGACATTGACAGGTTTTTTTCATGCTATCCCTTCATAACTTTTACAGGTGTTAAATTAAGATGGAGACACTATGATTTCCTATCTCTCGTTCCTCGTTGGGTAAATTTACGCTTCCAGATGGCGGAAGTCTGTCCCATTTTGTCAGTGGCAGTTGCAAGGTCGTGTGTTAAAAACCGTCTGGTGAAATCTGTAAAAACCTAAAATATATTTAAAAGGATCAAATGTGGCATCTTCTACTAAGCATTCATGTACTGTTCAACACATTATAATGTCTAAAAAGTAATCGGGCAGAGATTAAGCTGACTGACTGAAGTCTATAAACATACAATTATATTACGATCACTTTAATATACAGTAAATACAGTTTAATATACAGTAAATACAGTAGTCTTAGAATGAATGATTAGGTTCCCAAACTCGAGGTCGGGGTTTCAATCTAGTGAATTTTGGTTGTGCCCTTGAGCAAGGCACTTTATCTACTGTACATTTGCTTCAGTCTACCCAGCGGTGTCAATGGGTACCACCGAATTGCTGGGAATTTAACCCCTTCGGTGGACCAGCGTCCCACCAAGAGGGAGTATTACACGCTCATATGCTTCACACTATAGAATCTGTGGATAATCTCGATCACTATGAACTCTAGTGACTCTGCAAGAATTTACTTACTTTTAATATAATAGTTATTTATAAAATTAAATCATAACAAAACATAATACAATAATACAAATAAACTATATTTAATTTCTTGCACCTCATCGAGTAACAATAGCAGTCATTCAATCAATACCTCAATTGAATTTTAAATAACCTAATATTTTATGTTCAACGTTTTGTGTCTGTTGAAGTAAAGGCTGGGAGGCCTTTCTAGCACATAAGCTTGCTGATTTGTTATTAGTTTTTTAACCGTGTAAACTACTGTATACTGAGATGAAGAGTTTAGAAGGAGAAAGAGAGCATTGTGCTTTTTGAAATATACTGTAGTTAGAATCGTAGTTACGCCTTTGACGTCACCATCGTTGCCATACTGTATAAGTGAACCCGCTATAGTGGTAGTGGACACAAAGTTTTACCTCGCTATTGAGTAGAAGCATTTACATCAATTGTTGGAGAACAAACATGTGATCAGTGTGTACAACCCATTCAGGTAGCAGTGGTCGCCCTCCTATAACTGCCAGGGTATGACAATAAAAGTAGGAGACAAACTCATAACTTGCAGTCATTCCTCTCTTTTATTTCTATAATCTTTGACTAAATATCTTGAGTAAGTATAAAGTATGGTGTCCTAGCCATTGTGAATACTGAATTTGAAATTGATTGAATTTGTCAATTTTGACTGTCTCATCTCCAGTTAGCGTCAGCAATATACTGATTCTTGGCCGTCCCTGAGATGTTGTTTGTTGATGTTTTTACTAGCCTGCTTTATAGTAAATGTAATATAATTACGCATATGTATTTCATATCCATGCCAAATCTGGTGTCTAGACTTAAACGCAATGAGTAACACAGAATCTAGATAAAATGTTGAAAATAATTTCTACTGAAGTTGCTCCGGAGCTGCCAAGACGATTTAATCAACATTTGCGAAAATTGTTCAGTTTCCTAACACATCAGGAAAAAAGCCTGATATCTTGTGACATCGACATGATATAAATTAATTTGTTATTTTTATGTCTCCATCATTGGCTGGGTTGGTGTTTAGGATTTCAACAAAATCATGTGTTATTGAAAGATTTATGTTTTTTCCCAGCTTGTCAACTAAATGAATTTCCTTTTTTAACCAATAAGGTTTCTGTATTAGATATTCAAACTGCAAAGCTCACTTTGTATATTTGAAGGAAGATATTAGAACATTTCTGAATACATAGGACGACAGAATATTTTCCTTGGCAATGACGTACAAATGTGGATCTCAGCTATGGGTTGTGACCTAAAATTAAGTCACCAAATATATTAGAGGGTCACAGGCTTGAAGGAATTTTATAGTATGCTAAAGTTTGCAGCATTAAAAAATGCATTTCTAAGTATCACTTAAAAATTCTGCTTCAATTTTTGTACAAGTTAAATGACCTATTTATTATCTGTTTTTGACTGCCAGGAAGTGTGTTGCGGCAAATTGCCTAAAGTTTGTCTGGGTCATCTTCCAAAACGTTAAGAACCGCTGGCCTTAAAATAATGCTGGTAATATTAATAATAATGAACATAATACAGTCTCTATACCAATTTTCTTATTTAGACTTTGATGGTTGTAGAGGCCATTGGCAGTGGTCATTGTTTTGGTTCAAAAATTTCAGATCAGGACTTGATTTCCATGTCCATTTCATTGTCCTTGACAATTTCAATTTATAGCTACATTTTGTCTCTGTCCACTCATATTAGTATGGATGCTGGTACAGTACTATGTTATATTGAATGTAGCCTTATACAAGGGAAGATCCAGTGTTGGCCATGAGTTGTGTGTTTTTTTGGTTTTTTTTCATAAAAATTGTATGACCTTTTGTGCCACAAATGAACGTAGAACCCTGAGAACCAAAGGACAGCGCCATAACCATCATTCCACAGCTCAACACAATTTGAGAATTTTGTTGGAACTTTGAGTTGCACTATGGTAGAAACTCCTTATGATGCTCATATCTTGACATAGATTTGTTTGCTGTAATATAACAGTTTACTTCCACGCTGTAATTAATGATTGTTTTAGCCAAATTAAAAAAAGAACATCATGTTTTCAGACTAACTGTTGAAGGGGAAAAGAAAACCATGATGAAAGGCCTGCCTTCCTTTCCACAGCTATACAAATTCCACCTGGATATATTAAGCTACAGTAATGTGAAACATATTTGTGATTTTGATCGTTTAAAAGTGGAACTGGAAAGATTTTGTAGATTAATGATTGGTAATATGATAATGACTCATTCACAAGGGGTTACTTGTTTCAAGTTTAGAAATGAAACAACAAAGAACTGTGGTGCATATAATTTCAGTATCAAAGCACAAGCAGAATTATATCCTTGACTCACTTAAGGTAAAATTTTCTCCTAATTAGTCCACATTACCGGTAAGTAGTTGATAAATTTGAGCCGGCAATCTGCTGCAGTGCGGTGTAGCACCGGGAATGGACCATTCTGCCGCTTGAATATGAACTTTCATCTTATTTCTCAAATGTTTAAAAAGCAATTCAAGAAAATTCTAGTGTATTGCCCAATCACCACCAGAAGGACTCATGTGCGAGTTAAATAATGCAGTACACTCTTCGGAAAAAAAAGTAGGGGATTGTCTCTCGGTGTACTGCCCAATCACCACCAGAATGGGATAGAGAAAACAATATCAGTGTTGAATTCCATGAAAGGAAGTCATTCCTTATCGAAACATGGAGACATGTAATATAAAAAGTGGGCTTGTCCCAGATGTCATGTATCCAGTTTTACTTTACATTGGTCAATTGCTGCCAGGGCTAGGTTATTCATACTTGTAAAATAACACTTCCTTAATAAGTAGGTGATTATTATTTGCTACGAAGCAGCCAATTCATATTCCTGACAGCAATTTGACCTCTGAAAGGTCATTGTTTGTCAAAAATCAATCGCCTGAGACAACTGAAAAGCGGAGTTTCCTTCATTTGTTCTGCCGTGTAAAATCAATTACTTTAGGCGACGTTTGTAGACTTACCCTACTCGTACGAACGTCGGCATGTCGCGATGCTGGAGTACTATTCAGCGTTTTTACTTTATTTCTAGGTTTCCTATTTCTACGTTTAATCGGCTCATGTCTCAGCCACAATATTTTGAGGACAATATTATTTACGAACCCAGTTAAACTTATTTACTAGCCTATTTCAACGTGCTAATTATTACATTTAGACGACGCCTGTCTCTTATACACATCTATACCATTTTATACACATGCGCAGATCGATTCGCCAGCAGCGAGTCATCGCCAGCAGCAGCGAGCCATCGCCAGCAGAGAGATGTCACTGCAGCAAAACACTATTGTACCAACGCTGTTCTAATAATAGACAATGGGTCATGCTCATATTATTTGTTATATTTTTATTATTCATTATTTTCACTTGACTCGCATAAATAATTTTGTTCGAAGAACATTTTATGCAGTTGTACTTCGCAGCACTTCACTTGCAATTTGCAATTTCTAGTATTAGATTATTTTAAAGGGTTCCTATACAACCATGACACTTCCTTCAATACCGTAAACATGTTTCGTAATTGATACCTTGTTTGTGTTGTGATACACTTTTGAACACCAGTATGAAAGGAAGTCATTCCTTATCGAAACATGGAGACTTGTAATAACAAATGGGCTTGTCCCAAATATGCAGATTGGTCAATTGCAGCCAGGGCTAGGTTATTCATACTTGTAAAGTTACACTTCCTATTATAAGTGGGTGTGAGTTTAAAGGGTTCCTATACAACTATGAAACTTCCTTCAATACCGTAAACATGTTTCGTTAAATCGATACTTATTTATGATAAGTAATCGATACTTGTTTATGATCTACTTTGGAATCTTATGGTTTTTCCGAAGGCATGACGGAAGGAATCTGTCAGGATAGGGAACATGTGAATTGTTGATGCACACCCACCAACCGGATAATTGTAATGGCATGAACGCAATTAGAAATACCCGGTCAGCTTGTGCCATGTTATTTTTAGAACAAGATATATGACTCAATGATGGGTGGAGTGAATATCATGTTTAAATTGATAAGATTGTTGGCGATAATAGTAAATTGTTTTGATGATTGTGATTTATGACGTCAATGTCAACACGTTGGTGCTAATATTATGGCTTGGTGGTTCAGTGTTCTCCTTACAATCCAAAGGTCTTAGTGTTGATCATTGCTAAAATGTAATGATTCTTCGATAATGCAAATTTTCAAATAAACAGTTCCAACTGATAAAATATCCTCTTTAAATAAAGTTGAGATGAATAATTATGATTCTTGAAGATGATAGTGATGAAGCTATACTGTGGTGATGATGATGATAAATAGATGATGACGATGGCAGCAACATTGCTGCAGTTACTGTTATGAAAGTAGACACCCTAACCACACACACACACACACACTTCCTTCAGACTACAGAAGTGTTTTTTTTTTGTATAATTTTATTTGTTTGTGGTAAAAGTCGAAAACCTGTAAAAAAAAAATTTAATCAAAATATTAATCAGCTTCATAAGACACAGATATATTACTGCCCAAAAAATAAACAAATATTTTAGACATTAGGGAGATTTACAACCTTAGGAAAGTGAACACGAATACTTCGTTATCATTATCATCATTCGTGCCTAAGACATACTTAACAATATGATGTGTGAGCTGAATGTAATCCTTGATTCATGCAAAAGGCATGAATCGCTTACGTTGTGTCAGCTATGCTACTGTAGGGGAAGGCTTGTCTAAAATTAACATAACTGAATACAATCGTTTCTGTAAGCTTGCGAAAACTCTCAATTAATGCAAATATCCTTAAATTTACTGTCAGAAATTTCAAGTTTATTCGAAGTTTCAGCTTTGTAGTCTATACTTAGAATATACTGAACGTCTGGTAATTGACAAAGGAATTATTGGGGTGGTTTTTTTATTTTTGGGTTTTTTTTTTTATTTTTTAATTCAATTGACTATTATTACTATTGAAATATTGAATTATATATTTTGAACCAACACAGACAGTATCTTTAATTTTCCGCCTTATCTTTTCCAGGCAACTATTATGTGGCAACAGTTGTCGACGGTTGATAACTTTGATAGCGAATTCATCGAACGGAGACGAACAGGACTTGAGGGATTCCTCCGCCGGGTGGCCAACCATCACAAGCTCTGTCAAGACAAGATATTCCATGGTTTCTTACAAGATGAAAATGGTTGGAAGTCTTCAGTAAATGCATCAGGATTCCAGGCCAAGGTAATTTATGATTTCATATGCCTAGAATTCAATGTCAGTAAGTACACTATATAAGGACGTACTGTATCACAGTGAGGTGAGTGGTTGGCTGAGAGGTGTTGCTGCTGCTGCTTCTGCTGAGGACATCAAACCCGGCAAGTGTTGGGTTTTTAATTGGAGTCTGATCGCCCGGGTAACCCTCATATTGAGAGGCAGGCGAGTTAAGAACAATGTTTTTGTCCATGTCCGTTATATTGTAGTTAGATGGGAGGCGCTGCACTGCGGTGGCTGCAGGTCCCCAGGGGCCACCCTAAATTTCTGATTTCCTATTAGAATAAGGACCAACTAAGGATTATTATTATTATAATTATTGTTGTTGTTGTTGTTGTTGTTGTTGTTGTTGTTGTTGTTGTTGTTGTTGTTGTAATTATTATTATTATTATTGTTGTTATTATTATTATTATTGTTGTTGTTATTATTTTTATAAAGCTTCCTAGGAAAATTTATTACAGAAAAAAAAAATGATTGGAGATTATGCATTTCAGAAATTGGGTTAAAGAACAAAGAACTTAACGATTATGTGGGATATGAACAATTGAGTACTGTAAGTCATTCATGCAAGTAACTCAGTATGTACATTGCTACCTTACTGTAGGTTGAGTAACAGCTTGGGTTTTTCCATGGGTAGAACCAGAATTGCCTAAACATGGGAGGGGGTTGGGGAGAATGTATTTGCTTTCTAGTATACTTCAGCATATGGCATTTAATGCACTGAGATTTTAAAATGTAGTGGCAAAATGGGGGGAGGGAGGGCCGGAATACATTTTACCCCCATTCTCCTCCTCCTCCATTAGATCTGCTCCTGTTTTCTTTCAATGTCTCTACCCAAAATGAATAGTTATATATCTGGTAGTAGCTTCGAATGCTATACAGTGATTGCTAGCTACAACATATGGCAGTTCTTGAGGAGCTGAATATAATATGTTCCCGTGGTTTGTTATGACACCAGGAATAATGTGAAGTGCATAGAGTCCATTACATTTGCCCTTTATACAGTACAATGTACTATATCAACCTCAACCACATACGGTAAAAAAAAATGGTCAGTGTTGTTTTGTTTTCCATGTTGCTTACTGTACCTTCCCAATACTTGCAGTGATGCATAATTGCTGTAACTTATATAAAAAATAAACTATATTTGCCAAATTATTGTATTTTTTTTTTCCGTATTCTAAAAAAAGTTGTTCTCCAATAATACTTAAAAATTTTATTTTAATGACCAACCACTGCAAACTTAGGTAATGGATTAGTTCAACCTTTCTCTCCCTTCCCATCAAAAAAATATTTCAGTAACTCTGTCCCAAATTATTCATTTTGATTGATTGATTAGCACTTGAAAAAATAATTACATGTCACACGATGCATCATTTTCAAAGACTGCCACCAACGCTCAGTGGACAAGCCTTGAGTCGGACAAGAACAAATTTTTTGGACAAAAGCGTTGGCCAACACAGTGTTTGTCAAGGTTCAGGCTTCAGTACTGTATAATAAAATAAATACAGTAGCTTGTTATTAAAAAACCTTTAACTATTAACATAGTTATTACAAGTGTCACATCACAGTTATATAGATAAACTCATTATGGATTGAAGACTATTTGTTCGTTTTATGACATTTTTGATTGTTATTGTTTTGTCTTGCCAAAATCCTTGACCGAAGTTGTGGTTTAAACCACAACAAAACCCCAAAAGACAGCAAATGCCCTTTGTTCAGTTTTGTATTTTTTATTTCTTCTGTCAATTGTTTTTTAGTTAATTAGTGTTTAAAAATATGTTTTGAACTCATGTAATGGATTTATGATATGATTACTATATTAAATGGAATGACTGAATTTTGGTACTTATCCAAGATTGATATGAGTTCTGTCATACTGTAGTTGTTGAAGCCTCTGCAGGTCATTAGCCAATAAGGAAATCCGTCTGGGGGGATTTTGACTGGCCAATTACCATGACCCAATTCTCAAGGACAGTATAACTCTAATTTGTAAATTTATAAACAGCGATGACTTTTCTTCATTACCAGGTCTCCATGGAGTATTAACAAAATAATGCAGTTTATTAGTTGATTACACAAATTTGTTAGCTGATTAGCTGGTCAAGTCATGGTTGTAAAACTTTTTAAGTTGACATGGTGATAACAATTTTTGAGTTGACCATCTGAAAGTGAAAGCATAGTACCGGTATACATAATGTATAAGATCCTTTAAGACATTGGTTTTTTAATTTTTATATGTTTTTTCTAATGTTTAATGTTCATAACGTTCACATGCACGTACTACTATGCAAGTTGTTTTCCAGCAATGACAACCTTCATTAAAAAACAGTTATTTGGATTTAAATAACATGATTTGTAATTGGTTTCTTAAATTATAATAAACAGTAAAAGGCTGTATACTTTTATTAGTTTTGGAGCCACAATGAAAACAATGATTGTAGCGCTACAATCATTTTGGTTTGCGCTGTTGTCAGTTTGGTGTGTAGCATTACATTCACTTTGGTGTTACTACTACTGTCTCTTTGGTGTGTAGCACTATAATCAAGTTGGTATGTACAGTAGTTTAGCTTTAAACTACAGTTAGTTTAGTATGTAGCAGTAACAGTCAGTTCTACAAAATTCAGTTGTGGTATGTAGCAATACAGTCAGTTTGCTACATACTGAAGTGTTGTCAGTTTGACAAGTTTAGTTGCCTCCAATATATATATTTAGGCCTCTGCCAACTGGAATATGTCCAACCAGTGGCAGATCCAGGAATTTGAATACAGTAGAGGGGCCAAGAAAGTATATTTTACAGACGGAATGTCCAGACATCCTCGGTTCACCGTGACCATGGTTGGGCCGAAGCACATGACTTAAATTTGAAGCTTGAAATTAAAATTAATGTATATTGCACTTCTACAGTCGATAGCTGGAAATGGCACTTTCAGACTGAAAATTTTGACAGTCATTTAGACAAATCAAATGATGCCAAACGACACTGAACTCACTGTGAGTAAAGTAAACAACACTATTTCACCAATTAAATCTAATTTTTAAAAAGTTATTGAAGTCACAGATAATATTGCAACCAATTCATTTCACTTTTCTCATTTCTTACTTACGATCTCTCTAGATGACTATCTTACCAGGATCTGTTAACGTTAACAAGGTAGAAATATTTAGATGTTGTCAAGTGGTGTTTGTTAAAAAATGTCTTGTGTTCACATTCAGTGTTTAACCTTGACGACTGATGTTCAGTTTATATGAATGTTTACTGTAGGATTATGAACCAGACTGTCATGTGCCCTACTTAGAACTACAAGTTCATGGGTTCAGTCCTTGTTAGACCTTTCAAGCAGCAAAATGTTTCATTTCAGCACCCTTGTGTTTTGTCATTAAAAATTAACCAATCGGTGCTTTAGTTTTAATATTAATCTCACGATACATGATGTATATCAATCACTTTCTATACTCTCGATTTCATCAACTTTTTGTGTGCACATCTTGTTAAATATAGATGATGGGTTTTAGAATAAAGATTGAAACAGATTTTTAAAGTTTTTTCCATAATTCGTCGCTCACATCACAAAGTAACACAATTATAAGTAGATTGTGTTAGTTCGTGAAATCACAGTAGCGCATCAAAACGAGCACGTATTGGTTTTCAAGCAATTTTGTATTCTTTACCACACAAAAAGTCCTTAACAATAACAGCGCGTATTTTGACGCACTTTCTTGATTTCACAAACTAACACAATGTACTTTGATTGTGTTAGTTCGTGATGTGAGCGACGTATTAATCATATTACCAATGACACCCATACTGTAGGGTGTTCTTCAAGCCTGTGATTGTTATAATAATAATAATGATGATGAAGATGACAACAATAACAGCAGTCAATAAATAATAATGCAGTATTAAAAATAATTATTGGTACATAAAATTACAATTAAAAAAAAATTATGTATACCCATCTCAAGTAAATAATGAAATGGACAACGATAATTCTTGTAGTTGTTTTTTTTAAACAAAAAAAATTGGTACATGGTGGTAATAAATTATCAAGCTACAGTAGTGAGCATGAGTTGGACATGTAAAGTGACAAAGGTGAGGCGGATACAGTAGCATTTCTAGACTAAACAAACATTGAAACATAAGCATATCAACCATACAGTGAACTTCATCAAGTTAAAGATGTACTGTCAGTCATGACAGTTAAAATTTGATAATATTAATTCCACATATTAATTGCTTAATTTGTATATTTAAGAAATTAAAAATTGGAATTAAAAAAATTCTTTTGTCAATTGTCGGCAGTCTAATAATAACTTTCCTGTGTTCTTTTGCATAGATCCTTTAAATAAGGAATTATAGTAAAATGTCTGCAAGTTGGTGAAAACCACTTTTTTCCATCTGTTTCTTGTTGGAAGATAATACTGTAATTTATTTGATCCTTTCAAATGAGCTACTGTATTCAGTATTTTATTTGACTTTTTGAGGTATTTTCCTGTTTTTTTTAACTGATAGTACATCTTTAAATTATAGTTCGTTAGCCTGTAAAGTGCAGTGTCTTTTTATAAATAAGTCATGTTTTCTACAGCATACCATTTATAAAATTACTATCAGTGGCTGTTGTTGTTTTGAGTTTCTGTCCGTGTTGGCAGTTATTACTGTTGTTATTAATTTTATTATTCTTTAATAGTTGTGTTGTTGATGTAATTGGCACTTTTTGTTAAAATCTCTGTTTAGGAAGTTATGAAGTGGGGGAAAGTGTAGGCAGATTCAAAATGTTTTGTGTATTTGTTTGGTATTAGTTGTGTTTTGTGCACATTATCCCTTGCAGGGATTGATAGTAACTTTCAGATTTAAAATTACACGTTTTGGGAATTTAAAAAAAAAATAACACAATATTAATCCTGATCAAATTGCACTGGTTCTAATTTCCAGCCATGGCTTATAAAATTTGCTTGGCACGAGGATAACCTGTTTTTTTAAAGTACATGTCGCCAAAGTGATACCATACTACCAGCGAAAGTGTATAATGTGCAAATAAATGTCATATTTTGTTGACAAAAATGACTAATTCTCTATTACATTCTATGTTTTTATGGTGCACTCATTACAATTTCTTTCCTTTTAAAGCATCAATAAAATTATCATTGACCAAGTAAGGTCGGCATACAATACTACTAAAGTTATGTCTACGCTATCAAATTTTCTTTAACAAAAAACTGTTGTGCACCTATATATAGTCATGATGTGCCTATATATGGTCATGATGTGCCTATATATGGTCATGATGTGCCTATATATGGTCATGATGTGATGTCATCATGACCATATTTAGACTAATTGAGGTCAACATATAATACTAAAGCTCTGTCCACATTATCATATTTTCTTTGACAAAAAACTGCTGTATGCCCATTTTTAGTCACAATGTGCCTTATATGGTGATATCATGACCATATTTAGGCATGTAGCATTTTTTGATGGCCTGTACAGGGCTTGATAATGTGATCACATTTAATTTGTTTCTGTTGTCATTGTTGGTTATTTGACAGATTTTATTGTTTACTAATGTCTATATAAAATAACAAATTGTTTATATCATTGATTTTTCTCATGTCTACAACTCCACTTCTCAAGCCATAAGCTGCATTCAGCATTGAATTCGAACCAAAATTTGGACTACATTTCCGGTTTGCTAGACGGCTAGAACCAGCGCTCCTATTCTAACACACTGCTGTGATTTTCTGATTGATTCGGTAGGCCTTCAGATCCAAAATTTAGATTCGGTGTGATTGCAGCTTTATAATGAGACTTGGTTATAGAGCTTTGAAAATCCCAAATTAACAGCTCTCAATGAAACATCATAAGTTAAAGTTGTTCTATTTTTATTATTTAAAAATAAATTTTTATATTGTTTTTATTTAATTTGTAGCAAGATTCACGGTTAAAGAGCCTTAACGCTGCTTTTCGTCTCAAGAAACCAGACAAGTAAGTAGACAGTTTTTATTAAGTGACATACTAAGGATCTGAACAAATATATTCTAAGGGATTGATTATTTTACTGAACATTATAACTTGGTTAATTGGCTCAAACACCTTTGAAAAACAAACTCAGTTTCATGGGGAGTATTCCATAATGTTTATTATGAGTCAATCTTGACGTCATCACTGTAACTCCCAATGTTATTTTCAGATGCTAACCGTGCACTAATTCCTTCAGGCCGCCCCATGGCAAAAACAATGTAACTGCTATATTTTTTTTTGCCTCGGAACGGCCACTCAAAGAGGTACCCAGCAATTGTGCGCCAATAGAAGTTAATCGGATTTGCGTGTATTAAAAAAAATGTGGGGATAAAACATTTTAAAATATGAAGGAATTTATAGTGCACTCAGAAACATACTTGCACATGGTTTTGTGGCTTACAATTAACTTTTACTCCATAATTACCGTCATGATTCATGGAGAAAGTGGATAATGATATCGGGATATCAGCTGCCATGCCATCAATCGTTCGGTGTCTTTTTTTATACGATTTGACAGCAGGATGCAATGGTGTCTGCCTACTTATACGCCGCCGGTGATGGAGTGAAATTGGTCCGTAGTGTGCAGAGACGAGATGTCCTAAGTACAAAGCAAATTAGTGAATAAGTAATTACCCATTTTTTCCGTCCCATCTCTTCAGCCGACTCGACATACATTTTACAGGTTCATTAATAATTTACAGTGTACTCATCGGATAACTTAATCACAGAATTGTTAATGAAATTATTAATGTTAATTTAAAGTTGCTGTACGTCAGTTTGTTTGTGTGTAAAACTGTGATGTCATTAGCATAACAGCTCTCACTGGCTAAAGTTAGGTGCCCTGTAATTGACGATATTAGCATTAGCATTTTTTTTTTTTGCTGGACTATGGGTCCCAAGTCATTCGAGCGAGTTCCCTTAAGGAGCAAAACGTTAAAATATAGCATCAAAATATGCCCTTAATAAAATGCTGGAGACCCACTTAGACCTTGCGCATCCCATTCCAGCATGGTTGTAGGACCCAAGAAGCATTAGGGGCCTCATCCATCCTTGTTACTGTGGGATGTTTACATACAGTAGTTTGGTAGTGGAGGTACAGATCTCAGCTGCTCTCTTCATAGTCCAGAATTGGGCATGACCATCCTTTATTATATCCTACTTGGTCTGCCATGGTCTACCATAAGCCCCTTGTCTTCCATACTTTACATCCTCCAAGTATCAATCTTAGTAGGCCCTTCCCCCAAAGCACATACAGGTAATATGTCAAATCTACTTTATTTGCCTATTCCTAATATTCCACTTTCTGTTTCATGCTAATAATATATTTTCATTCACATTCTATTTGGAATTAGTCAATTATTACAAAATTACACAGCCTAATTAAAGTGTGACCGTGACTGCATAGGAAATTAAATCAGAAAACTTTAGTATCATATTTCACCCGTTTCAAGTTGTTGTCAGTGTGTGCCTGCAGGGAAATCCCCCTTAACCAGCCTGGAGCATGGTACTTGTACTTTAAATTCATTGAAACTTGGGATTTCCTTTGAAATAGGGATTTAAACTAGAAAAATTGAGGATATACACTACTAATTAATTATTTTGTTTATTAGTTAGATAAATAGCTACATTTTTTCACATCTACATAAAAACACAATATAAAAAAAATAAAATGTTTGGAATTCAAAGCATAAAATTTAAAAACAGAACAACAAAAACAATTCAAGGAATGGGTGACCATGATTTTTAGTTCCTTTCACAAAAGTACATTGATTTTTTACGTACAAAGGAACGTACGCACCCGCAGGGTTCTGGTTTTGTTATGAAGTGTTTTTTATTTTTAATTGGACCCCACATAAGTACTTAAAAGCATGAATTGAATAAGAGAAATGTAAAAATCCAGCAAAAATATAAACATTAAAATATTGAAATTCATTTATTTCGTCAATAAAACATATAGAATACAAAGACAAACAAGATAGAAGTACAAGCACTTAAAAAAATTTCAACAAAACTTGACAGGATTGCTCAAACATGACATCTGACTTAAAAAATTAAATTTATGCAAGTATGCAAAATTTAAAATTGTGTTTATAAAGTTAATTAAAATGAACATCTTAAAACTTGTCAGGTTTCATTAAACAGTTGCATTAAAGCTCTATGAACAGGCTGAAAATTACAACAAATTCCAGTATTTGCAATTCCTGACAATACAGCAAAAGGCAAGGAGAGTAGGGATTTGGAAAAAGGCCTTCTTCAATAGTCTCATGAAAGAGGCTAGAAATTTAGATTATCTTCACATTCAAAGTTGTTTGATTTTTTTTCATCAGACAAAAGAAAGTCAACCATTAGTGCATGTCTCGAGACTCCCCTCTAGACGTAAACTATATGGATGAATGTTTTTTATTTTCTCTCTTGCATTTCCTTTGTCTTAATTCAATTCAGTCTCTATGCCACTTCTCAGTTGACTTTCCAAGAAAAAAATTTCCATGGGGTACTTGTATGAAAATTTTTCTTTATATTTTGTAACAATATTCAAAGCCTGTTTGTTATTTTAAGACATAGCTGTCTATGGTCAGATCTAGAAAAACCTAAAAAATACTTTTTTCCATAACATAGTGGTTAAGATGCTTGCCTGGTAATCCCAGGGTCCTGGGTTTAATTCCTGTAACAGCAGTAACTTCGCGGATAAAAGAGTATACTCAACTGTTTTTTTAGTGGTCAAATGCTTCAGATTTTAAGGTTAACACTAGGTTGGTAAGAAAAATGCCTTTTGACCAAAGTATTTTGAGGAAGTGTTAGATCTTCAAATTAATATTTTTAGTCCAGTGACCTCAAGTGGTGTCCAATGACTAAGGGGTCAATGCTTTGTCTGTTACCATTAGTTAACAGTATCTAAAGTACTTTAATATTTAATACAATAGAACCTCCTCCTTTAGGACATCCCTATTTTAAGGAACATTCCTATTTCAGAAAAACCCCTATTTAGAGGACACTTTTTTTACAATAACTCAAGGGAAAGTATATAACACTACGGCCTACCCCTATGCAGGAGACACCCTTATTAAGAAGACACGTTTTTGGTCCTGAATAGTGTACCTTAATGCTATAGAAGTCCTACTTGTACCATTAATTAAGTTCAAATAAAGAGTATCAAATAGAGAGTATTGACATGATATAAATTTGTGTTCACATGATTAATATGATTTGTTCACATGATAAAAATTCTAAAATATGACTATGTATAATATGAATATTCATGATAATGTTTGATTATGCATGATACATGAATAGTGATGATTGGTTGAAAAAACACAAGTGTTATACTCACTCCTAGCATTTCCAGGTGTTGTATACATCTTTGAGAAAAGTCAATTCCGGAATTCCTCAGGATGGTAGCGATAGTCCAGGGATTCAAATTTGAGCTTCCATCCGGATATGTAGAGCTAGCAGATGGAAAAGTCGTTGGTGATGGTGACACTGTGATATGATGACCTAGGACCATGTCTACTATTAACTTAACCTGGGCCACTCTTCATTGCTTGTAAAGGAAAACTGAATGTGTGAACAACTTATTGAGAGGAAGCCTTATCTATATAGGGATTATGTTTTGCACATATTAGTTATTACATATAGGACCTCTTTTGTAGTTTAAAGCATAATCTCGACACTTTTTTTTTTAAACCATTGTGGTTTTTTAGATATATTTTTTAACAAGTGAAGGAAAGTTGAGATTAGAATAGGAAGTCTTCGTGAGGTGCTGTTTTAACAAAAGATGTCGGCCATGTTGGAGACAAGATTTAATCAACTTACAAAGCTGAGATTGGTATAAAAATGTGAAGATTTTGATTGTGATATTAAAATTAGGTGGATTTGTTTTAGCTGTGGTTAAAGTGCTTGTATTTGTATTTATATTTAGGGCACATTTAAAGTGCTTCTTGCCCTGATCATTGGACAGAATCACCCATATGCTCAAACTCATCCGCTCTCTGGATAGCATTCCTCCAATTTCTTTCTAGATCATTCCCCTTTTTATTCAGGTACACACTTACACTTATAGGTGGGAAGAGGAAAAAAGGTTAAGTGTCATTCCCAAGCAATGTGACTTGCATCTGTCTCGAACCTACTACCCGTGGATTGTATACTTGAAGCCTCGTTCCTGTGTCTGTGAGCCTTCTACTACCAGGATCCTGAATCCAAATCCTGCGGAACACAGGATAATGTTTTGACAGTACGCATACACAGTTGATAGTTCCATGCATCGCCAGATTCCTTGTTTTTTTTGCCCTAGGTGGTTTGCTTCAATGAAATTGGAGTTCAAACTGTTTCTACTTTTCATGAAGTGAAATAATGCACAGGTAATCAGCTTGAGAAAAGATTTTTTCACAGTGAAACTATTTGTGTCTTGCGATTTATTTTTACCCAGTAAGAAAAGCGACTTTAAGACATAGTTTGTAGAGAATGACATCAACATAGTTTGATTTTATATCTATATGATTTCAGAAATTTATCTCACTTCAGTTAATCCATTTCGCATGTTTGTCAAACACCCAAGTTGTCTGATTTCCTCTCTACAATTGCTACTTGTGCTGTCCCACCGAAGTGTAAATTTTTATCGTTACAAAATGAAATTGAAATTTTCCTTGAATTGCCCGTAACCTTCACAAACGAGATAATATTAATTTTTACCTGCCAACTTTCACAGCCTTTTAGATGAGTGTACTACAAATTTTGTTGCCAATCTTCATGTGAAACCGAGAATTGAAAGTAGAACGCTTGATGTCTAAATGTCAATCTACGATTTATCAGTGTTCTCATCTCTGCGTAGCAATAGTCTAATGTCATAATAAAGGGAAAACTTCATTTCAATTACAAGATGACTATATAATCCAATTATGACACAGTCGTTCTTTGAATATTATTTCTTAGCTCTGTAGGAAGCAAAATCAAGAGTAATTTGTCAGGATTTAAATTGGTTTCAAAACAATAGCAGATTTGACATTTATTCCCTTGCATCTGAAGTAGACATTCGTCATAGAGCTTGAAGAAAAGGTGTACGTGCTTGTCTGAAAACCCTCAGAATATGGGTTGGGATCATAAAAAGTGGAGGGGTTTTATTTTATTTTTCTGACCGTCATTGGAGTTACATCTGCCTATTTGTGGACATTCAAGAACCAAGTACTCTATTTGAGGCATGTTGTGGCAAAATGGTTAAGTTGTAGCAAAAATTGAAATTCAAGTTATTGTTATTTTCAGATACCTGATTATGTGATCTTTAAAATGAGGGGTCATTCATTGAAATTGGACATTTCAAGCCACAGTTATTGGAAAGTGAAAGTACAGCACTCTTTGAGTCAAGATAAACATGATTTTAAGTAATTGCCTTTCAAAGTTCTTTGTGCATACATTGTTTAATAGAATAAACTATCAAAATAACATTAGATAAACAATTTGTTGACCACTTCCAGAACTAATACTTTGGGACATGATTAATAAGACATTAAACTGTTGATCTACAGTGAAAAACAAATTTGGATTTTTAGGCAATTTTTGAGCTCCCATATTTTAAAGCTCATTTACTCAATACTGGCCTGTGTGACAACTTAACCATTTCACCACGACATGCCTCATTTGGAAAAGAGCGTATGGTTGTCTCCTGGTGTACTGCCCAATTCACTACCAAAAGCCCCCACTGGTAATGAGTTAACGAAACTTTTACACCAAGAAATTCGTACTCGCACCTTTAAAAAATACCCTTAGTATTCAGTCCAAGCATATTTGAGAAATATTTTTGTTTCTTATTATTGTGTCAAATAATATATAGTTTAATTTAATTCATCTCCACATAAACGCAATTCCACAGATGAACAATTATAAAAAAAACAAAGAAACAAACAGCATTGAGAAAAGATCCCCAGAAGTAAACATAATTAGTAACATAGTGCTTAACTTTGTGTACAGGACCTTTTTTCTCTTACTCTCTTGGCAAGTACAATCAGGAGTTATTTTCCCGTGAAGGGACTGTAACTGACCAATTACGAAGCAGGAGTGACAGTCGTGGTTCATTGGAGACCTCAGACAGTTCAAGTAGAATACACTTTGTACTCAGACTGACTTCCGTATCGGCTTTTCTCCAACATTCAAATTTTCCATAATGTTGTAACTTATTCTTAAGCTGTATTCTTCTTGATTTTGATACCATATTAGTCCTTGAAATGAATATTTTTTTTTATGTCTTGACAAATACCAGTTCAATATTTCGTGGTTAATGTTTTTGTTCTGATATTTAAAATAAAACAGCCAAGAATCATTAATACTGTATGTGGAAAAGAAAGTATGTTTTTAAAAATTAATACTTGATTGCTGCTACTACTATAAATTTAATTACATATACTTATATATGTGATTGCCATTGTTATTTATAAAAATACCGTACTCGCGCGAATAAGCGCCTCTATCGAATAAGCGCCCCTATCGAATAAGCGCCCCTCATAACAAGAAAATTTCCTTAAGCGCCCCGTTTGAATAAGTGCCCCCTCAATAACCCAATCAATCCTGGGACTGTGGAAGTTGGCATGATTTGAGGTGTGGAGTGGTATCACATTCTCCTTTAGTCAATATCAAAGTGAGGATATTTATCTTTGACAGAATGATGAGAGCTCCCTGGACAGACGTATTTCCAACTTTCATCATCTTTCATTTGTCTATAGCCTAGTCCTATTACTCCTTTTCCGACAATTTGCACCTTTAACACATTCTCATCTAAGTTTTCAAGAAAACCTGCAATAATCATGCCGTCCTGCTATTCTCAATCGACCAATGGCGAACAAGCTAACCACCACCACTAATTTCATCTGCTATTCTGCTGTTATGTAATACTGTACTCACAACATTCTTGTCATGACAAGCCATGCTCTCTGGAAGATTATCTTTTCCGCCACAGTACCATTCGTAATTTGCGGTTTCCTGATGTCCTTATTTAATCGTTTTTCATTCAAAATGTGCCTCTTGGATTTAATAAGTTCTCATAAGATCCCCTCGATTTTCATCTATTTCCATAAGCGCCCCCCTCAATTTTCACTCTGTTTTTATAAGCGCCCCGTTCGAATAAGCGCCCCGTTCGAATAAGCGCCCCGTTCGAATAAGCGCCCCTCAAAAAGTGCAAAAAAATATCTTAAGCGCCCGGGCGCTTATTCGCGTGAGTACGGTAATGTTAATTATTACTGTTATTATTACTACTATTATTCTTAAAGATATTAGATATTGTTTCATCGTTTTCGCAAGCTTACAAAAATGATAACGAATACGGCTACGTAATCAATTTCTTAGAAAACCCTTCCCTTAGAGTAACATATTCATCACAACGTAGGCGATTCATGACTTTTGCATGAATCAAGTATATATTCAGGTTTATTTATTATTCACCAATAAAATACATTAAAAACAGAGGGCAGCATAAGCTGAAATCTCTGTGAACAATTAAGAAAACAGTAAAAAGGCAAGATACACAAAAACAGTACAAGAAAACAAAAGCAGCATCCAAAAGCAATACACAAAAGATACAAACAACCAGGCCTATCATCCACCAACATTATCATTATTATTATCATTATTATACTCATCATTATTCTTATCTTATAGTGTTGAATTATGGATGAAAAATATCCAAATTCAATTTAACTTTAGAAGTATCATATTCAGCTCATACAGCATATTGTCAAGAACGTTTGGGGCACGAATGATGATAATGATAATGCGAAGGATGCAAAATCTCCCTATTATCTATATTGTTAATTACTAAGCCTGGCACACACTATGTCGTAGTATGGTCATACTTAATGCTGTCTGCTGATTGATGATTACTAAGCAGATTATCATTAGAAACGATCTGTTGCGTGCCTCATTGTGTTACAGTCTCCATTTTTCCCTATTTTTAAAAATTTTAGATTTTTGCTGTGCATTTGTATATTTTCTTTATAATTATATTACTAAATCTGTGTCTCATATTTTTATATTTATAATATATTTTCTGTGTGCTTTGTTATTGTATTTGATTGTCGAGGGCCTCAATGATCAGCTTTGCTGGACGGGCTACCCTACCCTCTGGAAATGAAGCTTAATAAAATGAGAATAAATAAATAGAAATGTCGGTGCATCTGTATTACTTATTATTTTTTATTTGTAATTGTTTTTATTTGTTTTATAGTATTCATCCAATTGATGTATAGCTTATTCAAATTTATTTCACAGGCGTTTTGAAGACCTCAAGAACTATTGTACCAACTTACAGAATAATATAACAGCACTGCTAAAGTTGAGGGCGGTAAGTTAATGCTATGAATATCCAAACAAAAATTTTTGAAGAAGACTATTCAAGAGTAAAGTAAAATCTATTTACGAACTCCCAATTTTACAAACTTTATTTGCAGTGATGACATTATTATAACCAATATTTTTAACTACAAAAACACTTAAAATTATATTTAAAAATCTACAGAAATAGTAACAAATCTTACATCATCCCAGAAAGAAAATGTTTAAACCAATAAAGTGACATAAAACTTCATTTAAAGCAAGAAATATTAATTGTTTCAGCATTCCATTTTAAGCTGTGCATGCTTGTTCAGGTAGCAATTGTACAGTAGGAATATAGAATTTCACAATTTATTTTTTGGAGGCGTTATTCCAATGGATTCACAATCATTATGAAGAAAAATATAACACTCATTTTTGCTATTAATGCATACTTTTATTCGGAAATTGCTTAAAATGAATACTTCACAGTGAGGTCAGATAATTTTGGCTTCTCTACATTATTGTTTTGCTGCAGGAAACATTAAAATCCAAGTAATGTTTTGTGACAAAAATTTGCTCCCATGGCAAGGCCTTAGGTCTACATATCCCGGTATACATTACTACGTAGAATAAGCCTAGCTAACCCTCACCACTGAGATGCTATGAAAACTCGCTGAATTACGAACTTAGTCAATTACAAAATCTGTTTGGACGGATGGGTACTGTACGTAGGGAGATGTAGGTTGAATAAACAATTTATAAACCCTAGTTACCCTCACTTTGAGGTGCTAAGAAAACTGTCTTACAAATTTTCTGGGCTACTAACTCTGTTTAGACGGAAGGGTATGTAATTGGGAGATGTTACTGCAGGTTGAGTAAACAAGTTTTATATTTTGATGAGACACTCAGGGCTAAGACCCCATCAAATAACAGATGATGATGATGATGAGATGATATGAAAGACCTTGAATATTCAGCGTGGGACTACACTAGTAAAGTGTCTCTCAAAGATTTAAACTAATCCATATTATGTTGGGTAAGGAAACCCACATCTAAGGAACAAGTTACAGTATAAAATGGATTTGTTTTATATCATGATTTCACAAGGGCCATCCTTCCTGCAAAAATAATCATCTGAGACTTGGGGTACCATCTGGGAGTGCTGTGGATTTTGGTTTTGATAGTCTCCATGATAATTTAAATTACTACCATTTGGAATGATGCTTGGTATTACTAGTATTATTGCTGTTTTGTTATTGCTGTTGATTTATTGTGGTTTTTGTTGTTAGTATCCTTATATTATTGTTGTTATTGCGTACTACAGATATTAATATAGGTTTTATTTTGATTGTTCTATAAAAATCTGCAAATATATCTTATATATCAAAATTCAGTTAGACAAATTGGTGGTAGGTAGCAACAGTGTATACGACAGGTCTTAGCACACTGTCTTTGGTATATGTTTAATCTGTTAATGAGAACATCAAATGATTTTGTTATTAGATGAGGTTATCTACAAAGTAAAATAAAATGACACAAGGAAAGTAAATATAACACATGTTAGTTTCCTAATCCACTGTTGCCAAATAGCTGTGAAAATACTAGTGCTGTACAACTAATGAGTCCTTATAAGTCTGTGTTGATCTGAAAATAAATAATAAACTGTGTATAAGGAAGTTTTAAACTTTTAATTGAAAATCAGAATGAAATGTTTTTCTTGCCAATTACAGTAATTATTAACACAGACACTTAGATAATGCTGTTCATATAACCTTCTGCGTAGGCCCATATATTGGCTAGTTATCAAGAATTTCCGTAACTAACCCTTTCAGTCTTTGAAATGTTGTGGCAATGCCCCAAATTAACCATTAATTATTGAATATTCCAATATCATTGCCTCTGGTATGCTGCCCTCTATAGCAACTTTTGTAATGCAATAAGCTGTCTTGCATTCCTGTGTAAAGACCTGTCCAGACTATCAAATATTTATTTTTAAAAAAAAAACTGTTGTACGCCCATATTTAGTCATAATGTGCCTATATATGGTAATGATGTGATGTCATCATGACCATGTTTAAGCATAACACATGTTTTTGTCAATTAGCTTTAAGGGAGAATGGGAACCATTACACCATGCCTATCCGTTGACACAACATACATTTATGTTGGCAATGAACGATGCCCAGGATGACCTTGCCCCAGATTCAAAGCAAGTACTTCGCTGCCTACGCATTACCCTCAGCCACCCACTTAACATGTTTTATTGATGTTTTTTTACCGACATGGCCAAAGAAAATGAGATTATGTCATCAACGAAACAAAGGTGGTTGAGGAAGTCCACAAGTTTACCCATAAGCACCTGTTAAGTGCATCCTTACCTGTGATGTTTATCCCATTATTCTGGGAATTATTTGCTGAGTGGCTTCCTTTGATTATAATAATAAACTTCTCCAAGGGACCTACCCTAGTTCATGAAGACAGGGTTTAAAATTGTATTCGTCAACCAATTATTCAGTTGTTCTGTTAATTCAGTGGTGGATTCGATGGGAGGGGGGGGAGCCTCTAAATTTATGAAAATGGAGAAAAAATGGAAAATTATATTCAAATTAAAGTTTGAGTGTGCCATTTCTGGCCACCTAGAGGTGCCATTGCCATAAAATGTCATACGGTTGAGGTGGTAATGACTGTTGATTTGTAGAAGTCACTCTCTGGGCGCCCTTTATCTTGAATTCCTGGATCCGACGCTGTATTCATGCAGTCTTAACTTTGAAATATTTAAAAAAAAATAGAAAAGAAGATATTAAACAGTATATATCAACAAGAAAGAAAACAAGAAAAAAAAATTGAAAATTATGATCATTAGAGGGCATTTAAAGGTGTTTAATTGTTGGAATTTCGTCTTCAAAGGAATAGTGTTGAATTAGCTATTTTATAGACATAGATTGCGCACGGTTATGGTTACTCACATAAACTGTTTCTGGGCTATGCAGATGCATCTTCATTTTTCGCCTTAGCCTAGTGTAAATTCTACTCTAGGTCCTCTGAATCAAGGGATAGGCCTAGATCTGCTGTATTTTGTTGACTAATAAAATTTAATTGTGACGTTAACAACAAATCTTCTTTACGGTATTTCATGAGTTAATTATAACCAGAGAGTTACATACGTACATTCAATCAATAAAGGTTGTTTTTTTCAAACGTAAATAAAATTTAGCTTTAGTTTAATGTAACATTCGATAGATTTGAAGAATATAAAGATTTTGTTAAAGGTATACCAGGCCCAATTAGGCTAGGCTGAGCTGATTAGTTCGCGGTAAAAGTGTCCGTCCTAAATAATTGTTGGCTGTTCAAAAGATGGCCGGACGACTCGCTGTCCAATCCTATGCTTACCAGACACATTTTTTTAATGGATTATTATCAGTCTATTATTTGCTCTGATTTTTTTTTTTTTTTCTTTTTCTTTTTTTTTTTTTTAAAGAGAAAAAAGTGTTTGAAAATTGAAAGCTTTTGTACCAGACTGTTTCAAGTTCGATAAAATCATTATCAACTGAAAATTAACCTGTCATAATCACTCTTCCCTCTTCCTCGGCAAGCCCCGGTAGTTTCATTTTCACTGCCAATAAAGGAAAATTCCTGATTATATATGTGATAAGAAGAAAAACTTCACAACAGACCAATTTGGGTGGGTTTTAAGAGGTCATAGGGATCTGAATAAGCGCCTTACTGGCACTGTATGACCACTGAGTCACTGTGTAGACTAGACAGCTGATTATCTTTCATAATATCCAGGTCTCATCGTGCCTCCTATCCAGTAAAATGATTTTTGATTTTTGTTATTTAGTTCAACATAGAGTACATTTATTATCCTTTGCCCTGTAATTTAGTTTGTAGCATAAAAAGGTGCAGGTCTGGCGCTGTGGTTTAAGATGCTTGGTTTTCCATTCTACTGTTCTGGGTTCGAATCCTATGAATATTTTTAATTATTACAAATAACTCATTTTCAAGATGTGTATAAGAGACAGGATTTTTAGATTACACCATTTTGTTTCTTGGGGGATGTTGTTTTTCATGAGGGACTGTTTTTTTCGATGCTTCATGTCTGGCATAGTTATAATCTATTCTCAGATTAACCGATACTATTTGGGGTACATAAACAGAAGCCTCTGGTTGGCAGTGATGGTCTAAACCTCATGCTTCAGTTTGAATGCTACATTAGCTTGATGTATTCATTTTCTTCTTTGTTGATAGGTGGTAGAAGAATGTGCCTGCAATGCCCTGCCAGGGTAGTTGCAGAGGCAGGAAACACTTATCTCTCACTGTCCACTCCAATGCACTTATGATTATAGTGGCCCCTTGGTGAGGCATTGGCTAAGGTTGGGAACAGAACACCTTCCCTGCTTCCACCTCTACTGCCCTATGGTAGTTGGAAAAATGTTCTTCATTACAACAATACCAACCAGCCTTTCTCTCCTTTTTCGTGCAATTTCATTCCCCTCCCATGCATCAATTTTACAAAATAGGTTAAGATGAAGTTTAGATTGTCTTGACAACTTACCTAAAATGTCAATTAGAATTTGAAATGAAAAGTATAGATTGTAAACTGATAGAGAAAATGAATACATTCTCTGCCAAAATACAATTTATTCATATGATTTATTGCCATGTGATTTATTATTGTTATCATGTGATTCATTGTTGCTATGATATGATTTATTGTATTATCATGTGATATACTGTTATTCATTGTCACAATGTGTATTATACAATGGGAAAATCCAAAAGAGTGTGTCACTCGTCCTCAGTGGGTAAAACAACGTTAATTAGAGGGTTTGGGTTCGAATCCCAGTGGAAACAATATGTTCAATATCGAAAGAGTATTAACCTAAATTTTCAGAGCAAGTAATCAATAAATTGCTTTATTTAGTTCAACATAGAGTACATTTATTATCCTTTGCCCTGTAATTTAGTTTGTAGCATAAAAAGGTGCAGGTCTGGCGCTGTGGTTTAAGATGCTTGGTTTTCCATACTACTGTTCTGGGTTCGAATCATATGAATATTTTCAATTATTACAAATAACTCCTTTTCATAAGTGAGAATTTTAAAATGTCTTTCCATCCTTCTATTGGCAGGTATAATTTGCTGTTAGAAGTGAAAAAAGTTAAGTAAAATAATAAAAAATATAATATCAAATTTAATTTTTTTTTTAAAGTATGAAAAAGAATATATAAAAAATTAATTATAAAATATAGTAGTGAAATTAATTTAAATATTAGATTATATTTGCTGTTAGAAGTGAAAGAAGTTAAGTAAAATAATAAAAAATATAATATCAAATTTCATTTTAAAAAATATAAAAAATATATAGAAAAATATATTGTGAAATAGTGAAATGAATTTCAATATTAGATTATATTTGCTGTTAGAAGTGAAAGAAGTTAAGTAAAATAATAAAAAATATAATATCAAATTTCATTTAAAAAAATATAAAAAATATATAGAAAAATATATTGTGAAATAGTGAAATGAATTTTAATATTAGATTATATTTGCTGTTAGAAGTGAAAGAAGTTAAGTAAAATAATAAAAAATATAATATCAAATTTCATTAAAAAAAATATAAAAAATATATAGAAAAATATATTGTGAAATAGTGAAATGAATTTCAATATTAGATTATATTTGCTGTTAGAAGTGAAAGAAGTTAAGTAAAATAATATTGAATTTCATTTAAAAATTTTAAAAATATAAAAAAGATATTATAAAATAGTGAAATGAATTTAAATATTAGATTATTTGACATTAGATTATTTGACAGGTGAGTCATCTTTCGGGGTCCTTGCTCCATAATGGAATGCTTTCAATTTGCACGACGACAATAATACTATCAGTACTGAGATGGTGTTTAGATCATGGACACGAAACAAGAGCCTTGAGTCATGTGTCGTTTCCTGCGTTCATTGTCAGTATCAAGGCTAATGGCAAAGTGGCTGACGATGGCATTCCGGACGCAGCCACTTCCTGGACATTTCCTGTGTGCGTGTCCTCAGCTTGATTCCCACATAGCTTTGCATGGATAGACGTAGGGAACCAGTCGTACAAACTGATTACTGCTTCTCTGTCACTGGGATCGGCCATGGATTTTGCATTCCATTCATGGCTATTGATTGTGGAAGCTTTTTTAGGGTTTTTTTTTTCTTGTGTATTAATAACTCATCATATTAGATATAAATTTTGCAACATTTGTTCTTAAGGATATATTTGGAGCACTCTGTTTAACTGTATTAATCAGTACCTGTCATTTTTTTAACCACCTTACCACCTGGAAGTGGGGGAGGGGTGTGGGGAATCAATATTTATAAACATATTTAATTGAATATTTAATAAAAATATAATTCGGTATGGTTCAATGATAAGTTTGGTTAGACATTTTATTACTAAGTAGTTCATGGCACACTGTGTCTCTTCAGATAAAAATTACCTAATCAATTTATTCTGAATTTTATACTTGTGCATTTAGGTAATCTATTAACCAAGAGTGACAATCGATGACTTCTGGTCAAAAGGGACAGAACCTATGGTCTTTAAAGTTTACCCTTTTTTTATGACAATATATTTATATAATAATAATAATAGTTATACTTGTATAGATAATAATAAGTTATACTTGTATAGCACGACAATGCTAAGCTTTAGTGCGCTTTATAAACACACGCAAACACTAAAGGAGCAAAGGAGTAGGAGAAGAGGGCAATGAAAGAAGAAGCTTGTTTGATGTGTTCAGGCAATTCATCAAAATGATGGGATTGTGAGTAAAAATTGTATGAGAAGTGTAATTTCTGTGAAGGATTACGAATTGAAATGAGTTGGATGGCCGTAGTGCAGTGCTTTAAAAGTTATGAGTAGGATTTTGAAGATGATTCTTTTATTGATTGGTAGACAATGGAGATCACAGATGACAGGTGTTATGTGATAAAATGCTTCTGAATAAAGGATGTACAGATTTTGAAAATATTTTAATAGTTATTCTCAATTTACTAATGTTTTAAATACTTTTCTTCATTAGCTATAAAGATTATATTGATGACTTTATGTCTGAGGAGGAGCTAATAGCAGACCAACTTAAGGAGTATGCAAGCTTTGCTGATGCTGTTAGGTAAGGAGACTAATTGAGCAAGCCAAAAGAGGGCAGCAGATACTATTAGAGGTTTTTACCTTCTAAAAAATTATGAATTAATTAATTAATTTGTATATTTAAGAGTTACTTTAACATTTTTGATTGGAGCACTGGTTCACTATTTCATTTTTTGGTTGTTTAGGAGGGGTCGGGAGAATTATCAATAGACTGTGGGTTACTTTTAGAGTACTAGGTCATCATACATTTGTGAGCTGTCACAACTCATTTGTCATGACAGCTCGCATTTTATATTGGATTATTTCCCACTCCCTCTTCTTGTCTCATTGATTCACACTTTTCAAGTAAAATATTGTTGAATTTTGTATTCATAAACAATCACATATATTGTGACTTGAAGGTGGGTTAGTTAACGGGAGATTTAGCTTTCTTGCCAGAGTGAGGGAGGCTGTATCGATTTCCAGGAGAATCTCACAACTGGCAGGAGACTTGTGACCCCTGACTCTAGAATGTGCTATTCCAATAGTTAATCCCACTGGCAGAAGTGGGTCGTTATTATTAACGTGAAGGTATACTATTACATTGCAGGTCACAAATAGATTATTCACAGGGTTTCTATCAGAAGTTTTTTCATTTGAAAACTAATTACTAATTAAACTGTTTCATAATTTTTACTTTTTTTTTTTTAGATCTGTTTGTAGAAAACAAGAAATGTTGCAATATGAAGTTGAAAGAGCAGAAGAGAATTTAGCTGCCAAAACCCAACTAAGAGATCAGTTACAGGTATGCACCCCTTGATCATTTTATTTATTGTCAAGTTAAATTTTAACATTTCATTAAAATTAACTGCTGGTCTTGTGAGAATGAAAAGGAAAAATCAGATGCACTCTGCAGAAAGTGTAGCAAGAATGTGTGTTGTGTTTTTGCTTCTTGCTTCCCCCAATCACCCCTCCCCCACCCATTGAAGCAGAAATTCTCAAGTCCTGTCTCTTATACACATCTAGATGTGTATAAGAGACAGCTTTAACTTTGGGCCCCATCATATCACATATAATGAAATAATAAAATGAAATTAACAATCAATGATTGCAGGGAACAGTACCTACAAAAGCATTTTCTTGGCGAGGACTCAGTAGCAAAGTGTTCGGTCCAGAAACGGACCAAGTAAAGGAGATGAAGTTGAGGCAGGTTAAAGATCAAATCCAAGAAGCTGAAGAACAGGTGACCAGAACACAAAAGGAGGCAGCGTAAGTAGAGTTTTTAATATCTACTTTTTAGCCTGGTTCTCACGAGAGCCCTAGTATCCGGATCGGAAGCTAACCGTTAGCGCTAACCGTTAGCCCCTGCGTGAGAACGCCCGGTCGGTTAGCGCCAACCGTTAGCAGTATCCGGATATCCTAACGGTTAGCATGGGCTATCGGTTAGCAAGTTGAGGGCGTTTCTATCATCAACCAATCACACGTAGGCGTTTACAATTTCCAGTTTCTTATTGGCCAGTAATTCGATCATCATAGTGTTGGTATCCGGATCGGAATTTTCTCGCATGGACGCACGGCATCTAACGGTTAGCATGATCCGGATCCTGCTCGTTAGCTGCCGTGTGAGAACATAGCCAAAAGTGTTTTAAAGCTCTGTCTTCACTATCAAATTTTCTTTGACAAAAACTGTTGTATGCCCATATCTAGTTGATGTGCCTATATATGGTCATGATGTGATGTCATCATGACCATATTTAGGCATGTCACAGGTTTTTGTCAAATTAAATTTGATTGTCTAGACAGGGCTTGGTTTGATGTATTCCTGTCAGATTCAGGTGGAAATGTTACATCAGACTTTTTGATGTTTAATTTTTTATTTCATTTAATGGACTTTTTTTAAGCACCTATAAAATTTTATTTGACAGAAACATGTGACATGCCTAAATATGGTCATGATGACATCACATCATGAACGTAATTATATAGGCACATCATGACTATAATATGTGCATACAGCACAAGTATGGTGAGTTGAATGGCTGAGCGGTTGAGGCAGGGGCCTGCAACCTACAGCCATAGTAATGGCACGCTTGCCTGTGGCTCTGGAGGTGGAGCAAGTCTTCTCGTATAAGGACTATAAACCGTAGGCCCAGTGTACACAATTGGCTCATGTGCCCTATAAAGAACCCAGTACATCTTTCGTGACGAGTAGGGGGATACTCTGGTGTACTGGTTCATCTTACAGCCCCTTCCTCATCCAGATGCTGCACATTCCTTGATGAGTATCTGCAAAGAAATAGAAATCTGATAATCTGGACAGAGATTTATACAGCCTTTCAGATTCTCTAATGTTCTCCGGTGTTGAAATAAGGATGATGACAACAACAAAAGCAATGATGGTGAAGGTTTTCGTAGTAATGATATTATTCTAGTTGTCAGATAAATTATCCCCAATTTCTTTTTTTATTATATTTTAGGGAATTTGTAGAGGAAGCACTGAAAGAAATAGAAAGATTCAAGAAAACCAAAACAGCAGATCTTAAAGAAATCTTCATCAATTTCTCAGTTCTGCAAATTAAAATTGCAAAAAAGGTATTCCTAAATTGTTTTATCTATATTTATACATTACTTTAATGGTTTGTTGTAAATTTTCATTGTTGTTGTCATCTAATTATTATTTTATTTGCCAAATGGTGCACTTTATTTTGCTTCTCTGTATAATACAACATAAATAAAATTTGTTTTTCTTGCAGGGTATTGCAACATGGATGAGTACGAAGGAATGCTTTGAAAAGATGTAAATAACTGCAAGATAAAGAGTAGCAGAGGGGTGTGCTCTGTTGTTGTATTAGTCTCAGTAAATTAACAAAAAAAATGAATATAATAGAATTCTATTTTTAGAGTATTTGATATTCTTTATTTTCAATGTGTCTTTTTGCAAGGTTTTGAAATAGTATTAAACATCCAGGATTCGTTTCTTCTGTGATGTGTAGCTGTCATATTTAGTCTTTGGATGAATAGTTTGTCATTGTTCTTCAGCGGTTGGATTTTTCAGACTTTCTTAGGGAAAAGAATCATCTAAACTTCACCTAAAATATCAGTGAATTTTCTTAACTTATTTAAAGCCGTCACTTCTCTACAGGCAATTCCTCTCCAATGTACCCTGCCCTCTGCAACGATCATGTAATTTGGAGTTGAGTAGTTTGGTTTGTTAGGATGCTTGCCTTCCAATCCCAGGGTCCTGGGTTCAATTCCTGTCAGTGTTGCAGGATTTTTCTCACGACCAAAACAACTCCACTCCCTAAAACTCATTTAGGTTTAGTTTGTGTAAAGCATCGTGTGTGTATGTTTGTCTTGTGAAAGGGATTGTCACCTACAAACAAGTAGGACATTGACTGTTGACAATCCTACAGTAGGTGCATGTGTGCCTAAGTAAATAAAAATGAAATAAAATAAATCGTTTCCAGCTTTTCCCATGTTTGGCCATGCCCCTTCACCCAGTGAGAATGAAGCTCTCCTTAAAATGGGTGTTCCCTTCCTTCCTTAGGATTTCTATTGTGGAGCATCTCATATAATATATTTTGATAAATAAGCAGTTTCATAAAAGCCCACATTAACTTATAACAGTTTTCTAAGCTTAGTGTGATAAATCAAAACCTTTGACCCCTAAACAGTATGTGTATATCGACAAGTCAAATAAATTAAATCTTAGTATGGATTGCATTATTTATGAATTGCAGGTACAGTAGTAGTGTACTGTAAATAGAAAAAAAAAGAAGAAATTACATTTTTAATTGACAACTCTATGGGTGGTAGTTACTGTACATGATTGTGTACATTCTAAATGGTCCTCCTCAGCCATTCATGTACTTGAGGTTCAGGATGTTGAAATTTTCAACAGCTGTCAGTGGAAGAATAATGACTAAATTACCACTTTAACATTATACTGTACTGAATAAAAAATCGTACATTCATTTGTTTAGTATGCCATCATACCTGAAAATTCTGAAACTTTTTATTGTTATAGTGCCTGTCCGCTGTGGTAATGAAGCGTTAAAGTGTCTTTAACACTGTATGCAAATAAGCTGTCACCTTGTTTAATCTGTGCATGTCTATGTCAAATTTCATGGCATATTCCTGTGTCAAAGTTCAGGCCATATAATCAAATAATCTAGTCTATGACAGAGCATGTATGGAATGAATGTACAGAAAGTATGTATGCTTGGTGTAATAGATTGTATGCTTGGTGTAATAGATTGGGTTATTTATAAGCCTTGACCTTTGACACATTCATGCACACTTTAACCTTTTACAAGAGGGCTTACTGGTTTTGTTTTAAGGAACTGCATTCATCTATTGCAAATGTGTGATTTTTTATTTCAGGAGGAAATTAAACATTTTAACTTCATATTCAAACCTTGATATTATCACAAATTCATATGTATATTGTTTAAAGTGTTTAGGTACAAATACATGTTGAATGGAATGAGTTAGCTATCGTCATGCGACGTAAGAGGAGGAGCTTAGGCGCCATATATAGTTCTACAAGTGAGATGAGTTAAACAAGGTCACGGTGGTCGTTGACTTCATAAGAGGGTTTGTTAATCTGTGGATTAAATGGAATTAGTTATCTATCGTCATGTGACATAAGAGGAGAAGCTTTGACCAATCTTAGTCCATGGTCAATGGCTTTAGAATGATTTTGTTAATAGCCTGATTATCCAATGATATGAGTTAACCATGGCCATGTGACACTAGCAGAGTGCTTAAACTCATCAAAATGCTAAACAGCATTAATTTAATATAAGGCCAAAAAAAAAGATGTTTGTTTCCCCTCCTCCACCCACCCCTAACTTACTGGGAAAAAAATTGGGGGAGGAAAAACAAAAAAACTTTTTTTAGATTTTTTCTTTACAAATTAAAACAAATGTGAGTGAATTTACCTTTATTTTTTGCCAGATGCCCTACAAATTAGTCTAAAGATTTTGTCTGATGTAAGATATTGCCATTCTAGGCATCTGTGGGTTATTTTCATTCCATCTGGTGAGTTTTCCACTTTCCCCTTTTTGTGATTTAAAAAAAAAGAAGGGCAAACAAACAATTTACTTCTTTAGGCCCAATCATATGTCAATACATTTATTGATCAAACAATGTAAATTGATTGGTTGATTTTAATCATATGATACTTAAAGTAAATTGTGTACACATTTTCCACCAGTATACATAGCCTTGCAGGTCATTTACATTAGTAATTTTTTATTGTATTTTGGGGGAACTAGTTTAGTAAGCTTTATTTTATTTGCTATTCGTCCATAAATTATAACATGTAGTTGATATTGGGATATTAAAATATTAAGAATATTTAGTAACAACTCATTTTGTATTAGCCTAGTTATGTAATTCATATAAAAATAAATATATCATTTACAAACAATTATGAAAACCAAAGTAATTTTGTGGTGGGGAAATTATTTATGTAAAGTGCTCTTAAGTAGAGAAGTTGAAACTTATAAATATACTTTTTTTTCTACAAAAGTAATTAGTGGCTTGTAACTTGTCATGTTCAGTCTGCAGTTTTTGTGACAAGCATCTGATTTGCATATACTGTATATTATATGAGCATGATGATGTTTATGTTGAGTACTAAAAGGGATCACTTAGTTGTATCACTTCCATATATGAGCATGATGATGTCATAAAAATATTCATCCATATGTGAGCATGATGTCATATCACATCCATATGAGCAAGATGATGTCATATCATATCAATATATGAGGATCATTATGTCATCACATCCATACATGAGTATCATGATGTCATATTACATCCGTATATGAGCATGATGATTTCATATCACATATTGAGCAAGATATATAATATCCATATATGAGGATCATGAGATCATATCACATCCATATATTATCATGATGATGTCATACCACATCCATATTATGAGCAAAACGATGTCATATCACATCCATATATTATCATGATGATGTCATACCACATCCATATTATGAGCAAAATGATGTCATATCACATTCATATATTATCATGATGATGTCATACCACATCCATATTATGAGCAAAATGATGTCATATCACATTCATATATTATGATGATGTCATACCACATCCATATTATGAGCAAAATGATGTCATATCACATCCGTATATATATTGATGTCATATTACATCCATATATGAGCATGATGATGTCATATCACATTCATATATTTCTTCATGATGTCATTACACCCATATATGGAAAAATCAGAGGTACCAAACTACATTAATAGCGTGGACAAATATATATAGTTAATATGATGATCAACTTCTTTCATATAGCCTAGGTATGTATTTTTTTCTTCTATATTGCTCATCATGTGATTTTACTAAGTATGTAAAATGTGTACCGATAATAAAAATACAATAGTATATGCATGTATATGTGCAATTGTAGGTTATATTGTTAGTTATTTAAATGTAGAGATGTCCACACACAAAGTCTAATATAATGTTTATTACTTAACGTAAATCAGAAAGTAAAAGTTCACAAATGAATAATTGACATGGTAGCATGTACAACAATATTTTCGCTGCATTTCAATGAACATTTAGTTAACTTGTAACGTCACTGTATTCACAATGTTATGTATTTTAATTTTTAGCATTTATCTGTTATTTGAAATCATTTCTTATCAACAATGCCCTCTGTAGTTATTTGATTTATTATCACTTTATTATGTTGAAAAAACTGAACGAATACTTATGAACCATGATGTGTTTGATCTATATCAACAATATATATATATATTACCAATACCTTCCTGCGTTGATCTAATTGCCTTAAAAATGTAAATTAAATGTACTGAATATAAGCATTTTTTAAAACTATTATATGAGTCTTATTTATACTATTATTATAAGTCTTAAAATATTACTCAAATTATTATTTTTTAATATTTTTTTTTTCCACTGGACTAGGGATTAATAATATGAAGCACATAGAGCCAGTTTATTGCGATATACGCTTTATTATAATGGTGAATTATTAATTTTTTTTTAATAATATAATTATATTATAATTATTAAAGCCAGGATCCAGATGGGAAAAAATATATGTATGTTGTACTAAAACAAAAAAAGGGGTTTTATGAAAAAATTAAAACGGCTAATGAGGTACAAATTTCTGAATATTTAAAAGTTGGGTGGGGGGAGGGGCGTAACAACCTCTTGTAGCTTTCTGTTAATAAATTTAAGGTTTAATTGTAAAACGTATGTAAGTGAATGAATGACAACTTAATTACTTTGATTTGTGTCCATTGAAAGTTGATAGATGTTTCCCGATTTTGCTACAGACGTTGAATCTTTAATGGAACTAAACTAAAGTTATATTATGATGTCTTATGTATAATCCTAAGATGTATTTCATAATTTTATTAAAACTTGTTGGAAAATTAATAGAATATATAACAGTGATATTCTCAAGTGCTCTAAATCTGGAGATGATTTACCATTTAAAGGTGCATTCACACCAAAACTGAATTGTCAGATCGGAAAGTTTACTGAACCGATCAGAACAATTTGATTAGCATGTCAAACTCTTTCCACACTATAAAATGTATGTGACAAAAATATAACATGTAATAATGTAAAGTAATATGACATAATCTTGCCCATATATGGGCACATCACAGAAATTAGTCACATGATAGTGTGGACAGATCTTAAGTATAGGGATTTTGGTTTGGATCTGATGTGAATGCAGCTTAATTCTCCACGTATGGCGTTCACATGAAAATTGATAATGCCATTTTTTAATGCACACCATGAACTCTATCATTCCATTTTTTGAAGCAAAAGTCTAGTATGACTATATAGTGTTAATCGCAGTTTGGATTGTGTAAAAATATATAATTATGAAATATATTAGGTTATCGGTATTTAATTTCAGTATTTTGAAACCGTTTATGTTTTTGGTTCTAATTAAACCAACAAAATTAAATGTTGTACTGTACTGAAATTGAGCATTTCTGTAGTTTTTTTTGTTTTTTTTTTAAATTTCTCAACTCCATTACCCGATGCCGGATCGTCATTAAGGACGATTTGTGGCGTTACGTTCTCCATGGAATCGCGTCGGTCGATCACCAACGAGCACAATAAGTGCCCCGCTTTAAAGTAACAACTACAGATCACCCTCCAGTTCGAGACACCTGAATATTTGGTGTGGTCTTCAGGTTTGGTGTCCTCTTCAGTGGATAGCAGTGTGTTAAACGGTTGAGTATTGTATAAAGTAGTCTCCGAATCGGAGGGCGAACTGTTGTAGGCTTAAATGCAGATGATAGTGTTAGTCGTATTTTTTTTTTGTTACTTAACCTTTGCCCATTAAGGCATGTTTAGTTGAGACTACGAAGTGACGTATACGTCAAACACGTTTTAGTAATGAAAGGAAATAAAACCGCATGCTATGGAAAAAAAAAAAACTTGTGACAGTGGGTTGCCTGGTTTCCATAAAATCACTACACTCTCGCTGTACAGTGATCCGTTTATTAAGGTCTGTCCACACTAAAAAAATGTTTGACAAAAAATTGTATGCCTATATTATAGTCATGATGTGCCTACATATAGTTGTGATGTGATGTTATCATGACCATATTAAGGCATGCCATTTTTTTTTGTGAAATAAAATTTGGTAGCCTGGACAAAGCTTTATATGGCCTAGGCCTGTCTTCCTTTCAAATCTTTTTTTTTTTTTTTTTTTTTTCTTTTTTTTTTCTGAGACTATAAGTAATTCTTTGGTGGGTGCAGAGTTTGTTTCTTTAGCTCTCCACACAAGTTTCAGACAAATCGTTTTGCTTTTTTCAAATCTTTACTGATTCATTCCTCGTCGAGTAAAGATAAACACCCCAAATTTGTCAAAATGTAAATTTTCTATTTTGTAGTTTATTGCACATTACGTACGTTTATAACGCTTTGCCTGCCCCCGGCCATGTCCCAATCTCCGCCGCCTTTTTTTTTTTACAAAACCCAAATAAAACACATAGCCTTCATACATAATTTATTAAATAGTTTATTGGAAAAAATAATAGAACAGTTGTTTTTTTTAAATACAAGTATTAGAATATTTTTAGCAGAAATCCATAGAAATATATTCAACATAAAAACACCAAGATGCCCGATGTTGTGTTTTCGTCGTACGGTATAACCAGGAATTTTCACTGGTTGATATCAATTCATCATTGTATGTACAGTAGGTGGAAAGACATTCACATATGGAAGGATTGACTCTTGCTCGTCATTATTGCATAGGTACGGGCTCTTGAAGTAGGCTTAGTTGTACACAAAGTTGTTTTAATAAGGATCGGAAGTGGTTCTGGAAAAAAAAAAAAATAACAATAACAACACGAGTTCATATTAGTTTTAATGTCCCTACAGGGTTTTTTTTTTATTTCGACACATTTTTTTAAAAAATTTATAACCACCATTACATTCTATAACTGGCGAGTGTTATAATGAATATGTAGCAATCGTCGAGCGTGTCTGTCGAATGTCATGACTATTCCGTGAATATTGTAGGCTTACTAATAACTTGTTCAGGTAATAACGACGTCATGTCGTTGAGTTATGAATTATAGGCTTTGGACGGACGATTTTATTATTTTCAAGTTAAGTTCTTAAAAGCGAACTGGCATATCGGTCCATCCAGGCGATAACTACTGGTTTGTGTAATTCCTGGCTACCAATGCCGTGTGTCCTATATGCGATGCGAAGACCGCTTATACAGTAGTACCTTTTTTCTAATGACCCAAGCAGCAATATGTCAGGCCCTATTCTAGAGGTTTTAGAAAGATTTCAGATGGCAATATGTACAGTAGTACGTAATTGCTTGATGATGTTCCACATGAACGAAATTAATTAAATAAAATAGATAAAAGAAGTGTGATAAATAATATAAGACGCTTACCTGGGGGCAGCTGCCGGACATTTACACGGTTTACACCCTGGAAGCACTGGCA